TATATATATATATATATATATATATATATATATATATATATATATATATATATATATATATATATGCAAAACAGATACGTATAGACTGATTGACTTATTAGAGTTACATAGCCCATCTTGACTTATATTATTTTCATGCCGCCACCAAAGCAGACAAACACATCAACGGACAACAAACATACTCATTTCACCTGAGTTAGGTAAAGAAATTCGTGTAAAGTGCACATGCCTTTCCCGAGAGCACAAGATCGGTGGCATGGAAGGATTCGAACTCGGGACCCCTAAGTTCCGAGCCGAACGCCTGGTTGTTCCGCCACACGACTCAACAACAGTTACCAACGTAGTTTCTTGATGAATATATATGGCATTATGAACCTTAAACTTCTACCTTGTGATGAAGCAATATAAACCTTAAACTTCCACCTTGCGATCTCCCCCCACAGAGAGACGTATCCTAACGGCCATGAATATGTCATTCACTCCTTTGAGCTGGACGAACGGCTGGCTCCGTATTTCGCCCCATATCCTGACCACGTGTTGCACTGTCCAGTGGCTGTCTCGGACAACGACGGTAAACTGGATTATTTGTTGAAACTGTTTAATTTGAAACATACATCTAATTGATTGAAGGTTTGAAGAAGACCATAAATATTAGATCATGGTTGGATGCTCATGTATCTTCTTTAACATCCATGTTTTTATCTACTTCATATTCACCACAAAACAAGGCTCATGAGAGCCACTCAAATGTTTTGGGTTGCTGTACTAGACAGTGAGGACAGGTGTTTGTTGGCCTTAGACTTGAAAAGTTTAGTGTCATATCCATTTGGGAAACAATCACATGATAACTTGTCCCATAGTGATGTTGTAGAAAAGAAGCTTTCAGCGTGGAACTTCCTCCTAAGAGGTGGTGTATGGAGGAAGAAAGGGTGATTTGCTTTAGTGGAAGTGGCAAAACGTGTCCGTGCTGAGAATGTTCGAAGTGGGGCACTACCGAGTTGACAATGTTGACTCATGTTGACTCATTGTTTGAAGAAAGCTCAGTATCCATATTACTTTGGCTCAAGACAAATTTTTCACTTGCTGTGATACCCTAGTACTATAGACATGACACGACTAGAACTTTGTAGATTATTAACACATACTCAGTTAACATTTTTCATCGTGTGACTTCCTGCCAGGCACCATGACGGCATTTTCGGAGTCTGCCTGGGCTCCCGATAAAGGAAAGAACAACAATAGAGACATGCAGTGGGGAGGGGGGACACTCTACGTGGACGAAAAGGAGAAAAACGACACTGTTTCTGGAGGAAGAAGAAAACTGTCCCACCGCAAGACCGTACCCACAGTTGATCTGTCGCAGTGGATACAGCGGAACTTTGCAATAGACGACCACATAAGTACATAATTAAGTTTACATTTCCTTCTGTGTGCTAGCATGGGTGCCATCCATAACCGTAAAGTAATCGTCAGCAGAATATGTCGGAAGAACACTGAACGTATAAACACTTTATGTACTATGTGTGTGTGTGTGTGTGTGCAGGGAGGGGGGCATTCAATGAACATTCAGCTACATTTACGTTTTATCGATAACTTACTTTATGACTTCATTTCTTCTGTGTGTGACTGTAAGTGCCAACCATAAGCGTCAAGTAATCGTCAACAGAATACGTCACCAGAACTCTCTCTCTCTCTCTCACTCAATCCAGGGTATCGTCGCTCCTACGGAGGAACCCCTCTCTTGACTCGTTCCACTCTCTTCTCAGTCTGGCATATCTGGGTCAAGCAGGGCCCAGGTGTTGCACAAGACTATCCCTCCACCTTGTACAGGGCCGTCCTCTGCGTCTCCTCCCGGGGTGTCCACTCAGTGGCTCTTAATACCCATTTGTTGTCTTGTAGTCTAGCTACATGTCCTGCCCAGCGGTGTTTGGCTGTGTTGACAGCAGTGATGATGTCAGTTACTCCTGTCTAGAGTCGGATCCAGGAGTTTCTTTTCTGTCTCGGAGTGTTATACCAAGCATGATCCTCTCCATCTTCCGCTGTGCAACCCTGAGCATCTCCATCTGGGTGTTGGTTAGTGCCCAAGTCTCACTACCGTATGTCATCACAGGGAGTATGTATTGGTTAAAAACATTTCTCTTGAGTCTTTCTTACTTCTCATGATGTTGTCTACTTTTCCAAAAGCTGCCCATCCCACTGTGATGCGTCTCTTTATCTCAGGCAGGAGACTTCCATCGTGTGTTACTTTTTTGCCCAGGTATATGTAGCTGTCTACTACTTCTATTTCCTCCCCGTATAATGTTTATTGAACATCAACTTGGTCTTCCCGAGGTGCATGTTCAGACCCAATGGTTTGCTGGCATTGTGTATGTCCTGGAGCATCTCTTCCAGCTCTTGTGGTGAAGTAGCCATTAAGATGATGTAATCTGCAAACAGGAGATGTGAGAGGTATTCTCCATCAATCCCAGAATCCAGAACAGTGATAGTAAAAATCAACAACGTTCCTTCCGAGCAAAAGTTCTTAAATACATCTGTGTGTATGTGGGGGGGGGGGGTCTTCATTGAACATTGAGCTACATTTACGTTTTTATCGATGACGTACTTTACGACTTTAAGGTTAAGAGCAACTTTCTTCCCTGTAGTTTTCAAGTTGGACGTGGAGGGAGCAGAATACACCATACTGAAGAAAATGCTGCAAGAAGACACATTTCGCTGGATTGATAAGTAAGTATCCTTCCAATGTTATTATGTTCATGGTAAAGGTAAATTCATTGAAGAGGAATGCTGCTTGGAGGAACATCATCATCATCGGTCGGCTGCTGCGCGGGCGACTGCAAGATCCCTCCACTGCCCCTTCACTGTAAAACGCAGCCTAACTAGATCCTGTCGCATCTAATTATGTTGGATTCACGAAAACCTCTGTCTACAGTCAGCAACCACAGTCACCCAAAGGAAACCTTCCAAACTTGCACATTTGTTTACAGCTACTGTATGTTTTACCGTAAGGTTTTACGGGGAGTTTCACCCAGGTCAACCGACTGGATGGAGTACTGAGCAAAAGAGCAAACTGATGGAGGATCTGAAGAAAAACAAAATAAAACAAGAGAGTTGGGCGGCAGAGACGCAAAAGTACGGAGATATGGACAAACTGCACACATCAAAGGTTAGATTCAACATAACGTGCAACAAAGTATAATGTCATGGCACCACCACGCAAAAACACATTCAGTAGTGGCCTAAAATATAAACACTTCTCTTGCGTATTTTTGACTAACCACTGCATGATGTCACGAATCCGCGAGATCAAGTGTAAAGAGTGAATGTGTCTAGATCTTGAAGAAGGCCATACATCTCTTTTTAATAAAAAGATCTAAAATGCGCTTCGCTTGTGATTTCTAAAACTTTTCTATCACCGGCTAATGCAGACAAGATTGTATCTATCATCGCATCAGCAAAGGTCTTCCGTTGATTTTATGAATAAATACTACCACAGATCCCACCCGAGACTCCGGGGTCTGCAGGTAATGTCTACACCTCCTGCGGGCCCAGCAATTCGTCCGTTCCCGCCCGGGTAGCCCTGGTAGTGCAGGTCGGCATGAACGCCAAGATGGCCCACAGACTGATCGAAACCATCCAAGCTTACACATCGCACATTCCTCTCAGGTAAGACCAAACTGATTTAATTTTATGGATGCCATCCGCCCGCGCATTGATTTTCGCCTGTTCTAAAAAGAATATCTCCTCCTTTGAGGCTCTGGCCTGGGTGCAACCTAAATATACTTTCAACTAAAATAATCGTTAATGGTCTCCTTGTTAATGTCAATTCAATTCAATCACGATTGCTGCCCCCCCCCCCCCTGTGTAGCCTGTGCTGTAAGTACCATGGCGGGTACCTCCATGTAAGTACAGTCTCTAGATTTACTGGACCGTGTCTGTGTTCTCTAGTTTGTTTGTGCACGGCGACTTTGCAGAGCTGTTTCCAGATATGGTGCTGCACTGGTCCATAAACCACACTATCGGAGTTCGAGAGGGACACCCTTACCCACCCGGACACTTCGACATGGTACATCCCTACTGGATTCGCACCAACCTCATCATGAGTGTCCTGAGGTACGAATTCTTTCTCTTAAAGTATTTCTATTTTTGTATGACTGAAACATTGGGACTTGATATCATATGTATATATATATCAACATTATAATGCCCAGAATTGTTTTCTCCAGAAATGTTTATATTTTTCCACACCTGGCACATGTAACTGGTTACGTCGATGAAGGTTAGACACCCAGGTAATACGATACGCCAAAAAGTAGTTACTCAAGCAACTGGATATTATTTTGAAAACGTCAGACGTTTCAGCTAGTATCCACTAGCTTTCGTCAGTGACGTCAGTAACTACTTTTTGGCGCATATAACTGGTTATCTATGATAGAATGAGTTTCAATTGTATCATAGCAGTCTCCCTTAGGTTACAGGAACTTGACATTCAGCCAGCCTACTACCTACCATTGAAAGTCAACGACCAAATGAAAGATGTCGCCAACAAAACGGACCTACGAATCGTACAGCCGACTGTCGCATTTCCACCCACATCAGGTAGAGTAGATTTTTTATGTCTATTTTGTATATATATTGGTCAGCCAGTATAACTGAACTTAAGCGAACCACATAAGTTTCTTTTCATTCATTTCTTTAAGTTACAAATTAAAGCATTTGTCAAAGTAGCAATCATGGTCTGCATCATGTGTTTTTCTGACTTTTGACTCTGATACGAACATCATAGCAATAAGTATTGTATAGTATGTAATCTCATTCCACACACCGACATGATAAAGCTCAATATAATTTCTGACTGGTAAACCGGCACACCCGTAGTTGAACGTTTGTATTTTTCATTGTTACGAATCGACTTATCCTATCATATTTGTCAGATGACGTAATTACTGGTCTTATAAACTTCTTTACTTTGCTCTACGATACCAACATGTTAACAGGAAGTGTACATCGGAAACGTTTTTAAACTAACGTACAGGTATCCATTCTCAGGCACCCTCCTGACGTACAAGAACTACTACCGCTTCAGAGACGTGGAACGGGTTCCCAAGGCGTTACGGATCATCAGTAGCGCCCTGGGAAAAACAGGGGGAATTCTGGTCCTGGACTCAGACCATCCGGACAGCTACATGAACTCCGTGTTCCTCCTGGACTATCTGGTGGAGAATTCCGGATTCCAGTTAGTTAGGATAGAAGACTGCATTGCGGGTGTATGAGTCTTATTTCTCGCAACTTAAATATATCAGCTGACCCAGAGCACTAGTTGTTTAATAACAATAGACGCAGAAGAAGATTCGTTATTGACTCAACAAAAAGTATAGGGATTTTTATATGGTCTTCTACAACTAAAGATCTAACAAAGCTAAATACATTGTATGAATAACGTCATCCTATGTACAGAATATATGTATGGGGAAAATGAGTAGCTTGTTTGTTAACTTGAATTGGAGTCATGACATTGTTGACAAGTTTTAAGAGCATGCTGTCAAGCTCTCTTTGTTCGCACACGTTGTGTCGAGAGGTGACATTGTTGACAAATTTCAAGAGCACGCTGACACGTTTTCTTTGTTCACACATGATGCGTAAATAAAGGTCATGTCGGTATGTCAGCCCTGAAAAAGTATTTACATTGTGAATGTTAAATGATTACTTACTTTGCGACAACAATTCGCGGTGCTCCGAACATGTCGCTGGGTTCACTCCAAGTGTGAAAAAAATCAGTAAATTCATATTCAGAATTCTTTTAAAATAGCAGCATAGAATATAGATTTTTTGAGCGACAGTTTCACAATATTGCATACTTTTCCAACTGCTCTCAACATTCAATACAAGACATCACATTACATTACATTAAGTATATAGTTTCATCTTTTGATTTTCGAACAACATGGTCATATGATCACAATGGTACATAATACATGTGTTACAATTCACGGTGCTCCGAACATGTCGCTGGGTTCGCTGGAAATACAGTTTTTCAGTAATAGTAAAACATACCTAGTCTGTTTTCGGTGCTGAACGCCATCCACATACAGGAAACACACCTATCCTTTCCTTGGGGCTGAACGCCATTCACACTCACACACACACACACACACACACACACACACATCGCCATCCTCTTACTCTTAGTGAAACACAGTCATTCGCCACAAAATGAAATTTTCGTTAACAGAAAAGTACAAGAACGAGAAGAAAAGAGAAATATGGTATGGTAGCAAACGATTTTTTCTGGAAACGGACGAAAATTGATGCGCGCGCGGATTTCATCAATATAATCAAAAAAAGTGGCATTGCCACTGAATGAAAAGTGGGATTTGCCGATGACGGTAAGTCTGGTTATGGTTGCCTTGGGCGATGAATAGTAAAAATAAATCCCATATTTTTGGTAAATCCTATTTTATTTTGTGCACATACCTACAGTGTAATCCCCTCCAAAATCGTACGGAAATCATCAGCATACTAGTAGATGGCAGGGACAAAATTAGATAACACTTGTAGCTTAGGTAACACCTGGAGCTCGAAACTGCACCCCAGACGGGGATTTACCAAAAACAATAAGCTCCAGGTAATTCTCGTCTGCCCAAATAATAGTGATGTAAGCCAGGTAAGCCTGTTAAACTTTGCCTAGAGCATCAAATACCAAGAACGAATTCCTTGAAGTAACGATTAAGTCCAATAACAACAGCTATTAGCCTTAAACAGGCTACGGATTTGTAATTCTTGATCAATTGTAATGTTCATGATTTTTGGCAGGCAGGTTACCGTTGGGGCGACCAAGTTCAAGTTGAAATATCGGCCTGGGGGGCACTACGTCAATGCAGTGGACTTTTCGTGTTTGTCGTTTCCAGTTTTTACAGGATATTTCAGAGTATATGTAAGTGGATACGTCGATATGTAAGTGGATGTTAATGATTTTTGGTAGACAATTTTCGTTGTCAAGACCAAGCTTAAGTGCGAAAATGGGCTTCATGGGGGTCCCTACGTCACTGCAGTTGACCTTCCATTTTTGTCCTTTGTGAACAGGATAATTCGAGTATATATGATATAGATGTTCATGATTTTTGATAGGCAAGTTACCGTTGTCGAGACCAAGGTTATGGTAAAAAAATGGGCTTCGCCAAAAATGAGCTCGTCACACCTCTGGTTTGTAATATAGAACGTCAGTGATTCATGGCAACTGTTTCATAAGTATGTAATGTCTAGTCATAGAATGCTTCCGTTAATCGATTTTGCTGCTTTTTGTTGCATTTTTCAGTCACAATAAATACTCTTTGTTGTGCTAAGTGTGGATGTTGATTTTAATATGTTAGCATATCTGACTCTTATAAAGGAAGAAGAGCGTCACAATAGGGTGTGTACTTTTTCAGTTGTAGTGAACCCAGCGACATCTTCGGAGCATGCATTATGTAAAATACATGTATTATGTAAAATTGTGATCATAATACAATGTTATTCGAAATTTAAAAGATGAAACTATAATCACAAAGTGCAATACTTAATGTAATGTAATTTGATGTCTTGTATTGAATGTTGAGAGCAGTTGGACAATTATGCAATATTGTGAAACTGTCGCTCAAAATATCTATACTCTATGCTGCTATTTTTTAAAAATTCCGAATATAAATTTACTGAATTTTTTCACGTTTGGAGTGAACCCAGCGACATGTTCGGAGCAAAAGTAAGTAAACCTTTAACATTCACAATGAAACGGTAAGTAATTTTTCAGGGCTGACATACCGACATGACCTTTATTTACACATCATGTGTGACCAAAGAAAACGTGTCAGTGTGCTCTTAAAACTTGTCAACAATGTCACCTCTCGACACAACGTGTGAACAAATGGAGCTTGTCAGCGTGCTCTTAACCTGGTCAACAATGTCAGACTCCAATTCAAGTTGACAAACATGCTACTCATTTGCCGCATACATATATTCTGTACATAGGATGACGTTATTCTGTACATAGGATGACGTTATTCATACAATGTATTTAGCTTTCTTAGATCTTTAGTTGTAGAAGACCATACAAAAATCCCTATACTTTTTGTTGAGTCAATAACGAATCTTTTTCTGCGTCTATTGTTAACAATAGTACCATTTGTCAGCTGAAACATTTTAGTTGCGAGAAATAAGACTCATACTCCCGCAATGCAGTCTTCTATCCTAACTAACTGGAATCCGGAATTCTCCACCAGATAGTCCAGGAGGAACACGGAGTTCATGTAGCTGTCCGGATGGTCTGAGTCCAGGACCAGGATTCCCCCTGTTTTTCCCAGGGCGCTACTGATGATCCGTAACGCCTTGGGAACACGTTCCACGTCTCTGAAGCGGTAGTAGTTGTCGTACGTCAGGAGAGTGCCTGGGAATGGAAACCTGTACGTTAGTCTAAAAACTTTTCCGATTTACACTACTATCTGTAGAGTAAACAGAAGTAAACAAGTTTATAACATCATCTGACAAAGTATGATTATGATAGTATTAATCTCCAAGCAGATCCCTCTCGGTGGCAAAAAGACAGTATCAAATTGGCCAGGCAGTATCCATTAGCCGAAGGTCCGCGGCCACCGACGGGGTGTAGCGACAAAAAAAAACGGCCATATATAAAAAGCTAACGATCATCCCCTCAACCTCTGCTTGTAGAGTATGATAGTATATAATAAGTCGATTCGTAACAACGAAAAGAACACAATTCAATTACGGGGTGTGCCGGTTTCCCAGTAAGAAATTATATTGAGCTTTATCAAGTCGGTGTGTTGAATGAGATTACATAGTACATCATTACATACATGTATACAATTGCTATGATGTTCGTATCAAAGCAAAAGTCAGAAAAACTCGTGATGCTGAACATGATTGTAACTTTGAAAAATGCTTTTATTTGTAACTTAAAGAAATGTATGAAAATAAACTGATGTGTTTCGCTGAAGTTCAGTTATACTGGCTGACCAAGACATGTACAAATAGACATAAAAATCTAAATCTACTCTACCTGATGCAGGTGGAAATGCGACAGTCGGCTGTACAATTCGTAGGTCCGTTTTTTTAGCAACATCTTTCATTTGGTCGTTGACTTTAACCGGTAGGTAGTAGGCTGGCTGAATGTCAAGTTCCTGTAACCTAAAAAAATAGAAAGCCGCTACACTACAATTAAAACTCATTGGATCATAGTTTTCAGTTACATATCAGTCCATGTGTGCAAAAATATAAACATTTGTGGAGAAAACACTTCTCTGGACATTATAAGGTTGATACATATACATATGATATCAATGTTTCAGTCGTACAAAAATAGAAATGTTTTAAGAGAAAGAATTAGTACCTCAGGACACTCATGATGAGGTTGGTGCGAATCCAGTTGGGATGTACCATGTCGAAGTGTCCGGGTGGGTAAGGGTGTCCCTCTCGGACTCCGATGGTGTGGTTGATGGACCAGTGCAGCACCATATCTGGAAACAGCTCTGCAAAGTCGCCGTGCACAAACAAACTAGAGAACACAGACACTGTCCAGTAAATATTGAGACTGTACGTACAGCACAGGCTACTCAAAGGGGGTGGGGGGCAGCAATCGTGATCAGTAGCCTCCTGTGCAGACCTCCGGGCAGGTACAAACCTTTTCCGGGCGGCTGGTTGTAGGATGGCCGGCAAAAGAACGCGTTAATTATTCTACAAAACGCAGTATAAAAACCCCCACCCATCCGTAGGCCTGCACAACAAGATTATTTTTCACTAATTTTAGTCTCAAGTATCTTTGGGTTTCGCTTACCTGAGAGGGATGTGCGATGTGTGAGCTTGGATGGTGTCGATCAGCCTGTGGGCCATCTTGGCGTTCATGCCGACCTGCACTACCAGGGCTACCCGGGCGGGAACGGACGAGTTGCTGGGCCCGCAGGAGGTGTAGACATTACCTGCAGTCCCCGGAGTCTCGGCTGGGACCTATGGTAGTATTTATTCATAAAATCAACGGAAGACCTTTGCTGATTCGATGATAGATGCAGTCCTGTCTGTATTAGCAGGTGATAGAAAAGTTTTAGAAATCACAAGCGAAGTGCACTCTAGATCTTTTTATTAAAAAGAGATGTATGGCCTTCTTCAAGGTCCAGACACATTCACTCTTTACACGTGATCTCGCGGATTCGTGATATCATGCAGTGGTGAGTCAAAGATACCCGACAGAAGTGTTTATATTTTAGGCCACTACTGAATGTGTTTTTACGTGGTGGTGCCATGACATTATACTTTGTTGCACATTATGTTGACTCTAACCTTTGATGTGTGCAGTTTGTCCATATCTCCGTACGTCTGCGTCTCTGCCGCCCAACTCTCTTGTTTTATTTTGTTTTTCTTCAGATCCTCCATCAATTTGCTCTTTTGCTCTTTACTCCATCCAGTCGGTTGACCTGGATGAAACTCCCCGTAAAACCTTACGGTAAAACATAAAGTAGCTGTGAACAACTTTGAAAGTTTGGAAGGTTTTCGTTGGGTGACATATATGCTGACCGTAGTCAGAGCTTTTCTCGAATCTAACAGAATTAAAATGCGACGGGATCTAGATAGCTATATAGGCTGCATTTTACCACCTAGTGTTCCTCCAAGCAGCATTCCTCTCCAATGAATTTACCTTTATCATGAAGATGATAAAGTTGGAAGGATACTTCTGACTTACTTATCAATCCAGCGAAATGTGTCTTCTTGCAGCATTTTCTTCAGTATGGTGTATTCTGCTCCCTCCACGTCCAGCTTGAAAACTACATGGAAGAGAGTCGCTCTTAATCTTAAACTTAAACTTATAAAATACGTCATCGATAAAAACGTAAATGTAGTTCAATGTTCAATGAAGCCCCCCCCCCCTTCCATATACTGCTGCTCAGAAGGAAGGTTCTGATGACGTATTCTATTGCTTTACACTTATGGTTGGCACCCACAATCACACACAGAAGGAAATGTAAAATTATGTACTTATGTGGTCGTCTATTGCAAAGTTCCGCTGTATCCACTGTGACAAATCAACTGTCGGTACGGTCTTGCGGTGGGACAGCTTTCTTATTCCTCCAGAAGCAGTGTCTTTTTTCTCCTTTTCGTCCACGTAGAGTGTCCCCCCTCCCCACTGCATGTCTTTGTTGTTGTTCTTCCCTTTATCAGGAGCCCAGGCAGACTCCGAAAATGCCGTCATTGTGCCTGGCAGGGAATAACACGAAAAAAATCTTTGATCTATTAACTGAACATGTGTTGATAATCTACAAAGTTCAAGTCGTGTCATTTATATAGTACTAGTGTATCACAGCAAGCTTTTAAGCTTAATTTTTTAAAAAATTGGTGGTCTATGATCTAATTAAGATATGAAATTATTGAAAAATATTGTGCCAGGAATGTCAGCAGGACAAGGGTTAAGACAAATATTTCACTTAAAAGTGTAGGCTTAAAAGTGAAATATTTGTTTTAACTCAAAGTAACATATGAATAATGAGCTTTCTTCAAACAATGAGTCAACATGAGTCAATATTGTCAACTCGCTAGTGCCCCCACTTCGAACATTTTCAGCACGGACACGTTTTGCCACTTCCACTGAGGCAAATCAACCTTTCTTCCTCCATTCACCTCTTAGTTGGACATTCTTCGCTGAAAGCTTCTTTCCTACAACGTCACTATTGAAAAAGTTACCACGTGGTTGTTTCCCAAATGGGTATAACATTAAACTTTTCAAGTCTAAAGCCAACAAACATCTGTCCTCACTGTCTAGTACAGTAACCCAAAACATTTGAGTGGCTCTCATGAGCCTTGTTTTGTGGTGAATATAAAGTAGATTAAAGAAACGTGGAGGTTAAAGAAGATACATGTACATCCAACCATGATCTAACATTTTATGATCTTCTTTAAACCTTCAATCAATTAGTTTAAAATTCAACAGGTTCAACAAATAACCCAGTTTACCGTCGTTGTCCGAGACAGCCACTGGGCAGTGCAACACGTGGTCAGGATATGGGGCGAAATACGGAGCCAGCCGTTCGTCCAGCTCAAAGGAGTGAATGACATATTCATGGCCGTTAGGATACGTCTCTCTGTGGGGGGAGATCGCAAGGTAGAAGTTTTTAATATTGCGTCATCACAAGGTAGAAGTTTAAGGTACATATTGCTTCATCACAAGGTAGAAGTTTAAGGTTTATATTGCTTCATCACAAGGTAGATTAAGGTTCATATTGCTTCATCACAAGGTAGAAGTTTAAGGTTTATATTGCTTCATCACAAGGTAGAAGTTTAAGGTTCATATTGCTTCATCACAAGGACAAGGTAGACGTTTAAGGTTCATATTGCTTAATCGCAAGGTAGAAGTTTAAGGTTCATATTGCTTCATCACAAGGTAGAAGTTTAAGGTTCATATTGCTTCATCACAAGGTAGAAGTTTAAGGTTCATATTGCTTCATCACAAGGTAGAAGTTTATGGTTCATATTGCTTCATCACAAGGTAGATGTGTAAGGTTCATATTGCTTCATTACAAGGTAGAAGTTTAAGGTTCATATTGCTTCATCACAAGGTAGAAGTTTAAGGTTCATATTGCTTCATCACAGCTTCATCACAAGGTAGAAGTTTAAGGTTCATATTGCTTCATCACAAGGTAGAAGTTTAAGGTTCATATTGCTTCATCAGAAGGTAGAAGTTTAAGATTCATATTGCTTCATTACAAGGTAGAAGTTTAAGGTTCATATTGCTTCATCACAAGGTAGAAGTTTAAGATTCATATTGCTTCATTACAAGGTAGAAGTTTAAGGTTCATATTGCTTCATCACAAGGTAGAAGTTTAAGGTTCATGTTGCTTTATCAGGAAACTACGATGGGAACAGTTGTGGGGTCGTGTGGCGGAAGGGCAGAGTGTTTGGCTCGGAACCAAGAGGTCCCAAGTTCAAATCCTGACATGCCACTGACCTTGTGCTCTTAGTAAAAGCACTTAACACAAACACGGAGGCATGTCAGGACTCGAACCCGGGACCTCATGGTCCCGAGTCGAGCACTCTGCCGTCACGCCACACGACCCCAAGTAACGTTTATTCATTTATTTCTGTTTTATTTAAACAGGACAGAGACCTCATTGCTACTTAAAAACACTGCTTTTTAGGAATGGCCTGTGACAACAAGTTACACATGAAAACAATGAAACCAACACATTACACAATACATAAAGTTACAAAACAACCAAGCGTCAAAACAAAATCGTTAACCGTAAATCAATGTCGTTAAGCCAGGCCAAGTTCAGGAGGTCAGAGGTCAGCAGTGTTGTTTCAGAACCTTCTTAAACGACAGGTAAGACGTGGCCACTCTAACTGTGGCAGGTAGGCCGTTCCAGGCAAATGCTCCCCTATACGCAAACTTTCTTCGGCCAGATTCCAATCGGACTTTAGGAAGTTTTAAAGATAAGTTTGAGTTGTGCCTAGTTTGGTAGATATGAGATGTTCTACAAAACACTTGTAGGTATTCCGGTACTTGTTGGTGTATTGATTTGAAGACGGTTTGAAGGAGGTGCATTTGCCGACGACTTGCCAAGGAATTCCAACCTAACGCAGACAGCTGTACATTATCTATATGTGAAGTACGTGGTATACCAAGAACAAGCCTTGCAGCACGATTTTGAAGTAGCAACGTTGAGTGTGCACAGCATAACAATGGCTTGTGGTGTGATGATATTCTTATTTTCTTATCTGTCCAATTCAAGTCTGAATATTATTAAGGAACTGAAAGAAAACTACCTGAAGAGTTGAACACTGGAGGCAACATTTGCGCCACAGTCGAGGAAAAACTTCCTGGGGCTATCATTTGTTGTCTTGAACGTCTTTTTCATGGGAACATGGCTGGCTTCAAACCTGTAACACAAAGAGAGATAGAAGAGAAAAATATAAGCCAGATTTGACTTTTATTCAATGATGATATTGCTAATTATAACTAATGTATATTTCAAGACAAAAACAACATGGCTTATTCACAACTGCACTCTGGTACAACTTGCACTGGTGCACTATACACCGACTGTATAGGTCTTCCTTGTTGGTCGGTGACACGTAAACACAATAAACACGTACCGTCTGTCTTTTTTACGAACGTCCCGACACTGTTATTGCCCTCACATGGCAGTTTAACTACAGGCCTTCTTATGATGATTTATACATAACTCAAACATGGCTGACAGGAGTAGTGCTTACCCCGCCCGCCAGTATGTTCTTTATTACAAGTTCGTGCCCGACGGCAAACAGGCATTGACAAGAAAATAAACAGGTAAGGAACATGGTAACTACTATTCTATTATGCTATATTATTCTAGTCAATCTATTAAATATCTATTCCGGCCTTGTTGCCTGTAATAATTTTGCTGTAAAATGGCGGCAAAATGGTGTACATGATGACGTCGTGCACACGATAGAATGAGTCATTCTGAGTGAGTTTCCAAAATGGCGATAAACTGAATAGCGTTAACCAAGGAGGTTGAAACTTCCGTGTGTTAACATTTTTTGGCGCTAGCTGTGCGTGTATGGCTACCATTTCTGCTGAAAACTAAGAGAGATGAAGACAGTGAATGTGTACGTAGAAATTCGGTGCAATTTTTCTTACTTTGTGACGAATTTGCGACTCCGACACTTGGCCAGTTGAGACTGCAGATCGATGCAAGAACAGTTCCCCACCACTCTCAGCTTCAAAGGGCAGCCCGGTGCTGTTGTACCCAAGATCGGGTAGCCGTTTCCGATAAGTTGAGAAATAAACAGCCCGGACATAAAAGACACCAAAGCGATGATCGCGCGCTTACCGCTAGGTGACATGATTTCAACTGTAATATAGTAAAACACAGCTCTACTAACTACGCGGAAGGTGTGGACACAAAATAGTGCGAAACAAACCTTCAAAAAAATCTTATGGAAAGTGCCGGCCAAACCATAGGGACGAACAAATTAAAATAAGTAGACGAGATTTAATTGAACATTTTTAGATCTAACATTTCAGTGTTTGAAAGTGTTTTCTTGATTTAGCCTGTTGTACTCGGAATTTCCTGGTAAAGAGGCCCGGAGTTATACTTGATCACTGCGCGTGCACACGTGGTACAGGTGGACCAACACGGAAACAAGAGGACTTTGTGTTTCTCTATCGACCTCTTACGCGGTTCAAATATGAAACTATCAAGTTCTAACGTTACGTGAAACCAGATAGCATACCGACAGAAAAACAGATCGTCTACGGTGACCTCGTGACATTGGAACAGTACCACTTTTAGTGGGGTGTCAAACATTATGTTCAGTTTTTTCTGTTTAAATTTCATTTATATCTTTTCCTTGTGTTGCATTTTTAGATAAATTTATATTTTTACAAATGCATACTACAAGTCTTAACACTACTGTTAGTGCCCTGTCCCCGTGTATGATGGTATGGTCCAAAAAGTGGTCGGTTATTCTAATAACCGGCCACTTTTGAGGGTACGGCCTGATAACCCACGGGAAATGGAGACTTCTAATTGGTCATCTTCTGGCTATATGATAATGAACTGTATTGCTAGACAGTTGCACATGGCATAATGTATGGCAACAATGACAATGTGACCAATACAATAACATTGTGCTAAAAAAAACTATTACTACAGGAATATGAGCGCGAACGGCGTATATATTGACATGATGTACGATAAACATTTCTGTCTGTTACAATACTTTCTTTCCTTTGTAAGGAACTACAAATATTTTGGCCTAAGTACGTAGATATGGAGCATGACAGCCAGGATTTGTTTAAATTTTAATTCACTTTACGTTAGCAAGCAGATTTACATTGGCCATTGCCCAGGTTAAATTGTGCAAAGCCATTACGTCATCTTGTTTCGCATAGTTCGGTTGCTATGTAAGCTGATCTCTGAACTTTGACCTTAAACTACTTCCTTATTCATCTTCACTTCCTGTTTTCTTGAAAACTTCGTGTTCTTGTCGAAGTGCTGCGATGTTCTTAGATAAAACGCTGCTGTTTCCTCTCCTTGCGGCTATTTCGCTTGCGTCTTCAGCCGAAGAAGGTGGGTTAGCGTTGGTCTCAGTCCGTCTTACAACTGTTTCTAATACTTGAACGGTACCGGTGTGAGAAACCTAACCAACCATTTCCCTTCCGGAAATATCGTTTGCAGTATACGAAAATGCTCGTAGAACTACTTATTTCGTGTGAAAGCGTCGTACTTTTATTGACTAATTATTCTTTTACTGATCTAACCATGGAAAGTACAATGTGCGGAGTTTCAGAACTTGGTACAAACGAATGTTTTTGTCTGAAGGGAGACTAGGAAAGGCAGATTTCTGGGAGTTACATGGCATATTGAAGGCCGTGTCGATTATTTCCTTTTCAGCATGTACTTCTCCTCTTGGCATGGCATCAAAAGTCATCCGTGACAACCAAATCACGGGATCGTCCACCTACTGCGGGGGGACCGGCTGCTGGGGCCCAAAACTGGGGAGACTACACAACGACGACGCCTGGTACCCGCAGAACTACGGAAACCCCGGGCGAAAACAGTGGTTTCAGGTTGACTTACGGGAGAGGAGGCGGATCACCGGCGTTCAAACCCAGGGTCATCGCTACACGTACAGCTACTACGTCACGTCGTTCAAGGTCCAGTTTTCAGACGACGGAACAACGTGGAAGACTTTCGCCACGTCTCATGAAGATATGGTGAGTCTGGAACACAGACCTAAAGTTCGAATTCCTCTGCTCTGCATCCTGTATCTGCTTATAAGATGGAAATCTGAATCTAACGTCAAACCAAAAGATTCAAGATATCTTTATTGCAGCCAATTTACAGTTTTTCACACTTGTATATAATATTGCACATAATTTTGATTCGTTCAGTTGACAAAATTTGAAATACTTACAAAGAAATGTAGTATTCTCGTACGTAAAACTACAATTGTTCACTTACAACATTTAAAAACTGATGATAAAATACGCACACACATTATTCGAAGTGGTTTAAAATAAATAAATTCTGTACTTGTATAAACAAATAAAAGTTTCTTTTCTGTGATAAGTATTTGCATTGTATGTGGGGGTGGGTGGGGGTGGGGGTATCAGATCCTAGCTTTCGAGGTTAAACTTCGTGTGTCAGTGTCTCACCGTTTAGGTGTGAACATTACAAGGGTGATATTGAACATGATTGTGCTTCTATTCCCCCACAGGTATTTGAAGGTAACCGTGGCGCTGATGTTGTGAAGGAAAACGTGTTCGTCCCCGCTATACAAGCCCGGTTCCTGCGGGTTGTGCCCTGGACCTGGTTTAAAAATGGCGCCGCTCTCAGACTGGAACTCCTGGGGTGTGACGTCATAGGTATGCTGCATTATGGGAACGTTCTTTCACAGACGCCATGTTTTTTTTTGTTTTTTTTACTGTAGTCAAGTTAGATGATGACGATGATGATACTAGGGGGTTGTAACATTCAAACATACGATTGTTATTATCACCATTTCATTCCAAATCATTCCGTCTCGTTTTTTTTCACCTCAAAATCCCCAGGACCCTCCATTATTACAGACATGACTTACAGAATGACAGAACGTGTGACAATGTTGTAGTTCCCGTCCATAATAAAAATAAGTTAACTCTACTAATGGTTATTTTGTATCCTCATGTTTCACACTCATTAATAATCCCAAAAATTAAGTAAATCTTCGCACCTATTTTCACCAGATACCACCACGTCACCTTCTACAACACCACCCCCCCAACAAACGACAACTACAACATCAGGTATATACCCATTCTTTGTCAGCTATGACATCCACCCAAACACTACGCCTCACAAACTGTACCAGGTAATAGAAAGAGGAAGCACAGTCGTTTGAAATTATGGGTGGGCACTTTCATATCAGTGCGCGGATCACTGAGTAACATGTAAGCCAGGTGTCATCATGAAGAACTTGAAAAATGTGTGTCCCTTTTTCTGTTCGTTCGATCCAGATGCTCCAGAAGGAGGACAAGATGGCCACGGCCCTCTGTCAACAGGTACTTATAAATGAAAAGCAAAGTTCTTTGATAACAACCATTTATTTTTCGCGAGCCGACATTTCGATGGTCGTTTGTCATCTTCATCAGGGCAATTCTGACTGGTTTACTGTGCACTGACGCTAGATGTTACTTGGTGCATAGTGCACTAAAGATGCACTTGGTGCATAATGCACTAAACACCTTTAGTGCACTATGCACCAAGTAACATCTAACGTCAGTGCACAGTAAACCAGTCAGAATTGCCCTGATGAAGATGACAGACGGTCATCGAAACGTCGGCTCGTAAAAAATAAATGGTTGTGATCAAAGAACTTTGCTTTTCATTCGTTTACCAACCTGATGAAATTGTTTACGGGGGTACTTATGAATGTTCTTAAGTTTGCACTCACCATGAGAACACATGAAGCACATACAAATTCCATACAATCTATAGACTCATGTACGGGAGACAACCATGGTTTCTTCGTCATTTTTCTCTTGTCCATGTAGGTATAGATTTGGTGAAAGCATTGTTTTGATAACGCATTTTATCTCAAATTGTACCCTCTATAGCAATGAACGAAATGAACTTCATTGCGTTCATTGCAATGAACGTAGCAATTGCAATGAACGTAGCCTCCAAATTCTATCCAAACTTTCACACATATACAAATGAAAAGAAAAGTACTCTCCTCTTAACATCCGAAAACCCACAAATTACAGAAAAAGTGGGATCCTTTGTCTTCCACTGTGTTCAAAAAAAGGAGTCAAACCCAGTAGTTTTTACTAGTAGTTTCTTAGTAGTTATCAGTAGTTCTATGTGTACTAATTGTCTGTTTTTATACCAACTGTTTCTTCTGTTCCTGCAATTAGCCCTCGGGCATGAATTTACAATAAACTTTCACAATGTTTTGATAACACTTTTGAGAAAGATTTAATTCTTGGTGTGCGGTCAAGTATATATACTCGTACTTAAGACACAGATATGAGTGTGCTGTTCTTTCCACCTTTTCTGTAGTTGTGATAATCGCCCTAGCCGTCGGTGGTGTGGCAGTGGTGGCAGCTGTGACAGTTGTTGGGGCTGTTGTGAGAAGACGGTAAGCTAGATAAAATATAAAGAATATACACTTGGCATTAACATGCACATTACCAGTTACACTTTACACAAAGCTGTATCAAATTGACAGTAATTGACATCTTGAAAGAGGAAATAGAGCATTAGACATAGTTTTAGACATAGTTATAGTTCTAGACAGCTACCTTTATCATGTAGACTTTAGTTATTTTATACTCTATTTCATTGTTCTTTTATGTTTTGTAATTTGCAATTAGCCTCCGGGCATGAATTTGCAATAAACTTTTCAATTATATCCTTTGCCGACAGAAAATGGGACAGTCAATAGGTCATTGATAAACTATAGAATGGATAAAGTGGTTATGATATAGATTTATATTGCATCTATCTTGGCGTCATCCTCCTTTTCCTGTTTTGCTGTAGGAGATCGTCTTTACGGTCTGGTACAGAGCCTTCTTCAGCCGCTAGAGGGGGCTTCGTGGACAACGACCTTTACATGAAAGCAAGGTCAGTGTTGTTCGTTTATGAGTAAAAGACCTGTCTCGATCAACCTAAGAATTGAGTCTTTATGAAACAAGTTTGAACTGCAATTTCCAACACAAAAATTGGACTTACCCAAATTTTCGACTGTACAACTCCAGTCGTTGTCAAGGAATGAGCAATCCACCGCTTCCGTGACGTCACGCAGATAACACACGTGACTCTGTGAGCAGATAGGTTGCAGAAAGTCTGTGGCGCCCCCCGTCTCTGTTGAGGGATGGTTGTAATGCCCTGATGTAGATGACCTTTTTAACCCCTCTTGTGTTAGAAATTGCAGTTAAAACTTGTTTCATAATGACTTCTACCAACACAGATGAAGTTTCAAGATAAGCATTGAGTCTGTGGCCCCTAACAAATATGATGTGCGTCCTCGTACACATGGTCCCACCTGATGTTGATATCAAGTATGAACTTTTTCGTCTTTACTTTGAATTGCATGCAGGTAAACAATGCTTTAAAAGCGGATTTGTTCACGGACACTCACAAAAAAGGAATTGACGATAAGGCCATGTTGATTTGATTATATGGATGACATCCGCGCGCGCATGAATTTTAGGCCGTTTCCAAAAAAAATAATAAGTTTTCAACCATACTGTAAATCGTACAAAACAGTTGCAAAATGAGCTAATATGTACCGTAAGTTGAACAATATTTGAAAACGATATGAATGTCGTAGAATGCCGAAATCAAACGAAAAAGACGAAAATGTAAAAAAATGAATTTGAAGAGTAGATTATTCGCCATACCATACGCACGCTCGCATCAGTTTTGGGGTTCCCAGAGGATGTCATCCATATAATCAAATCAATATGGCCTATAAAGAGGAATCAAATAAATAATGGTGCATCATATTTTCTTTGCAGTACCCAAACAGGACTCGGTACCTCTCAAGCAATGACGGGAAACAGCAGTTCTATGGAGGGAGACAGTGGATTGGTAGAAAATGTTATATATGAGACTTCAGCTGAACAGCACTAGAATGTGCCAACGAGCCAGAGAGAAGTTTAGGCCGTGTTTATGTGAAGTCACCCAAGGCGCTTTACACGTGGTTTACCCCGAAGCCGATTTCAAGTGGCTCCATATGAACGCTCCAAATCACATTGAACCGCCTCGATCCCAAACCACTTCTAGAGGTGGTTTCGAATCGGTTTTCCCGCATCGCGATTTGCGTCTGAACGCAATGTGATTTCAATGTAACTTCGCCTGGTCATGGATTACCGGGTGATATTTCTTTTTTTATATGCAATACCAACTTTTACGTGTCATCAACTTAAAGAGTAGTAATGGTCAAATAATGTGTCCGTTCTAGGACGAGCTTCACTGCCTCTGGCGGGACCACGTCGGCATTCGGCCGAGATACGCTGGGAGGGGGGCATCAGCAACCAGATCGTTGACCTCTGACAATAATGACACGCTACCTAGCGTGTTTTCATCAAACAACAATGAATGTAGTTTCGGAGAATCGTGATCGGGCACGTTTTAAAAGGAATGTATGGCACGTGGACCAGATGTGAGAAATGTGAGTTACCCGAATCGCGGTTTGGGTGACTTCACATAAACACGGCCGTAGACGTCGTTAATACGTAACATGCAAAAAAATATAATCATTTTAATACAAACAGATCAGACCACCCCTGTAGAAAGGAAGTTTATCTCTCTAATATTTCCATTATTCATATAACATTTATAACATTTAAATAACATATCTATTTGTGCGATCCGTCATATGGGTGGCTCTTATGGTTCATTAAATTATTGTTTATAAATTATAGTTTAATGGTTAAATTAACTGGCAAAACTAAGTACTGTATAAAACAATAAGTTTATCTATGACTGAAGTTTAACACATTAAAAAGTGTTAAAGAAATAACAAAAGGATTGTTATACTGTAAATATTTGTTGTTTTAATACTCTTTCTACTCTGTGCAAGGTGTAATGCAATGTATATGTAATTCGTAACAATGCACCACCAGATGAGCAAGTTTTACAAGCGAACGTAATCTTTCTGTGGGGTCGTGTGGCGTAACGATAGAACGATCGGTTTGGAAACAAGAGGTGCCGAGTTCGAATCCTGCCATGCCCTTGGGAAAGGCACATTTCCTCACTTCACTCAGGTCAAAATAAGTATGTTGTCCGTTCATGCGTTCACACGTTGAAAAATCCACAATACTAGCCTTCTATTCCTGTGGTTTAGCAGCATTTCTATGGCTGGATTTTTTTATTCGTCCGCGCGCACTAGTTTGGTGTTCTTCAGAGGACGTCATCCATAACATTAAGTCAGTGTGGCCTAGTTTTTCAAACGGTGCCTGAACCTGAGCGCTGTTTCCATGTTAATTTATAACACTTGATTGTTAAACACATTCCTTCCCCCACGTTATCTTGACCAATCACGCCTACCCAATGTGACGTCACCTACTTGTAAAAACAACGCCAACGCACACACAGTAGTTAAGACCAGAACTTAAAAAGGCAGACCCTAAAGTTTGGTTTGAAATTCTCCCTACAATCTTTTTATGGTACCTGTCTTCGAGCTTCCTAAGTCGCCATGCTCAAGTTTCCAGTGATTCTTTTGTTGTTTGTGTACCTGTGTATGGACTGTCTGCTTGGTGAAGTAGCATCAGAGAGGGAAAATGACGGTATGTGTGGTTGCATTTTTACACCGATCCAGATTTTAACTACAGAAACACAATAGCAACAATGTCGTACGTACGCTGTTTCTAGTCCACTCTTAAGAGATAGAGGAGAATCGAAAAACTAGGTGGCTAATTTGAAATGTAAACGGTTAAACGGAAATTAGGTTTTTGCTTGAATCTGATTAATTCTGTTTACAGGAAGTTGCAACGTTTGTTTATTTATTCACACGACCTAGATTTAGTTCGTAGTGAAATGTTCGTTCTATTTGTAGTTAATAGCTGACGTATTCGCGTTGCGGCAGGAATGACGTCATGCAAGCGATAGGGAACGTCTCAAAAGGACATAAACCGACGCCAACTGAAATTTAATGTTAATTTTATAGCACCACAATGATATTTTTATTTTTTTTCTTCTTGTGCATTTTGCAAAGACTGTTACAGTTTCTGTGCAGGTATTTGAAATAGACCTCTTGTCGCTTGCGTATATTTATTATGCTTAACACGATTTGAGAGGGTCGTGTAACTCTAGTTAGTACATGTCATAATATTATTTAGTCTATGAGAGTTATTGTTATAAACTTATTTCCATACATTATACCCTGTACGCCATATTCCATAAATTATACAGCTACACGTTTTATACACTCGCGTTGATGACTTACGTATCAAAGTTCAAGGTCTGCATGAGATTTTTGTGAAGACTTTCTTTGCGATGCCTCCACCATGTATAAACCGCCACTACACCGGTACCGAACACTATGAGTACAACACCGCCGGACTTGAGCGGACTGGGCAACTCCGATAGAACGACGTAGTCCAACAGCACTGCGAGAGGTATGGTGAAGGTCTTGATGGTGGCAGTGATCCCCGCCTTTTCCGTCTTCAGTGACAGTTTTGTAGCAAAATGCGCTCCGCAGACACACAGGCACAGCCCGATAACATAACCCACCGTCTGTGCCGACATCGCCCAAATCGGGGTCTCAAACCAGTACGTCAGTCCGAGCAGCAGGACCGCTCCTGCCAGGTTGGCGTAGAAGAGCACGGTTAGAACGGAGACCTTCTGTACGCCGATGAGTGACCGTGCGATGACCAGACCTGGAGCTTTGCTGAAAGTTGCTGCGAACGGAAGGAGAATGGACACCGTCAGACGCTGCGCGGACGAAGTGTTCTCCGTGATTAACCCATATGTGACTACAGCAACCCCGGCTACGTTGAGAACGATTCCGAAACAATCCACGACGCCCACAGTTTCCTTCAGGTACAAAAATCCAATACAGGCCGAGGCCAAAGGGATAGACCCTCGCATGATACCGTAGGCGATCCCAGGGACAACGAAGACGAAGGACATATACTGGAAGACAGTTCCAAGGTTCTCCGTAATAGTCGACAGCACCATGAGTAGAGTTTCTCGTCCGTTTTCAGTTGTCAGTTTTGGTCTAAAGAAGGGCAGGACGAGCAAGACAGCAAGGAGCTCCGCAAGTCTGGTGAGGAAGATCAGCTGGAGCCCAGGTATGCCCGCCTGGCTACCCAGGGCCATAAACTGTGACGAGGTGGCGGAGAGAACTGTGTTCAGCAGAGCATACAGCACACCGGCTCCGGGTGTCAGGTAAGTCTGTGCAAAACCGGCGCCCTCTCGGCCTGTGGTCTCCTCCTCGTTATATGTTGCTGTAGCCATGCCCGCGAGTTGGCTGTCGTTGTTCTTCTGCAGCTTTGAATATCAAGTAAGGACTACACGAACCCCGCTGAAAACTGATGTGATACGGGAAGTTATTGGTGAAGAGAATTCTTCTTGCCAGAGTAAGTGTTGTAGTCTGTCAGCATGAGGAAAAGTAGATGGAATGCCATATACTATAATAATGCATTGGACTCAAGCCGGAACTGACAGTACAGTGAAAGGATGAGCGGTCCCAACTTGAAGAATCTTCCTACCTGGTCGAAGAGATCTACTCTACTGTTACGTAGTCAGAGTGAGTTGTCTGAACTGCGTACGTCCTCTTCCGTCACAGACCACTGGCGGATGGCCTCGGGGGGGATTGGAAATGCACCGCTCTGTGGACGAACAAACCTTGTTGACGCTACAAAAACACAAAAAGTACAGTTTCACGGTGTGCCTTTGGCAACTTGTTGAATATCTATCCTGCCATTGGTCTTCAACTACCTAATATTGTGCTTAGTGTTTCAACATGCTTCTACTATGCCCTGAATTCTGTATCTGTTTATCTAGGTCAATTCATATCTGTTCATCTAGGTCAATCCATACATAGTGCTATACACGAAGAGTGAAATATTGAATGATAAGGTTAGATTAGTAAGCTAGTAGAAATAGTTATTAAGTGTTATTTGCAATACATTGTACCCGATGCAATTCTTGCGCAAATTATCATGACTTGACTTGTTTAAATCTTATCTGAGGAATTGGCGAAAGCCTGTCTCCTTACCTGATTACAAGACGTGTCGAAAGAAGGTTGGTAGTTGTTGGACCGGCAGTACAACTCTGCAGCTAATCTCCAGGCAGATATTTTGGCCGCCTGTAACCATTGGGTGGCACAAGTATTGGATACTGCCTGGCAAAATTGATACTGTATTGCTACGGAGGCCTGTATAAAGTACAGACGTAGACGTGGAAGTTTTCTTCGAATTCTGTGCAGACGTGGAAGGTATTCGCGCAGATGAGGAGGGTATTCGCGCAGATGAGGAGGGTATTCGCGCAGACGAGGAGGGTATTCGCGCAGACGAGGAAGATTTTCTGTGCAGACGTGGAAGGTATTCGCGCAGACGAGGAAGGTATTCGCGCAGACGTGGAAGGTATTCGCGCAGACGTGGAAGGTATTCGCGCAGACGTGGAAGGTATTCGCGCAGACGTGGAAGGTATTCGCGCAGACGTGGAAGGTATTTGCGCAGACACGCAGGCCTGTACTTACTGGCCTCCGTAGTATTGCAGCCACACAAAGATCTGCTTGGAGATTAGGTGTAGCCATGCCGACTTGATTGTATGAATGACACCCACACGCGTATAAATTTTCAGTGGAGCATATACATACAACTCTACTTGGACCCCTACTATTCATTGCGTACATCAACAGTGCCGCAGCCCTAGCCGCTTCTAAGCGCTGGAAGTTTGTTGACGATTTAAACCTTCTCGAAGCTAGAAACCCAACCTCAATGCCTTCCAGTTTACAACAAGACTTAACTGATCTGGATACGTGGTCACACAAAAGCGACATGGTGTTACACCCGCGTAAGTGCAAAGTCCTACACGTCCACTTTTCCAAGACATTGTACATACCCCCACCACTTAAGATAAACAACATAGAACTTGAACAGGTCAATGTAATGAAGATCTTGGGACTGTACCTCCAGTCTGACCTGAAATGGAATACCCACATTGATTCCATCTGTAACAAGGCGAACCAGCGTCTATACCTACTTCGTAACTTAAAGCACTTCCGCGTTCCAGCTGTTGACCTCGTTACAGTGTACACCTGTTACATCCGCCCGGTACTGGAGTACGCGGCCCCAGTGTGGTATCCTGGACTGACCACTAAACTCTGTAGGAGAATCGAGAATGTCCAGCGTAGAGCGTTGCGGGTCATCTTGGGTGCTGATTTCATCTCCTACTCCAAAGCTTGCGTGCAGCTCAACCTACCATCACTTAAGACCCGCCGTGAGAAACTGACTTTGACCTTTGCCAAGTCCCTTGAACACTCTAAGCTGCACCGACATCTACTGCCGCCTTCTAGAACCTCGATTAGCGGCAGGACGACTCGCGCATCCCACAAACTTGACTCTGTGTTCTGTAGAACTGAAAGATATAGATCTAGCGCGATTCCCTACATGATTCGGATGCTGAATTCCTAGCTTTTACTTCAGAGTACGCATTTTAAATATATATTTTACTATTCATAATCGTTTACCCTGTCTGTAATTTATGTGTACATCTGATATTTTAAATGAACGACCTTTTAACGTATCTTATATTAATAATTAATGACGTATAATGATTTTAATGTGAGCTAACTTTTTATTAATTAATCAATTGTAATTGGCAGAGCACTTCAGGTCCCAATTACATGGAACCTGCCTTTCTGTGCAAGTGATGAATGACGAATAAACCATATTATTATTATTATTATAACTTGAGGATCTAATTTCCATAATCAATGTGAAACATGTATAATTTGTCAGTGGTAAAGGTTAACATCATTTGACGAAGGCATGAAATCGTGGAACTCTACCTGACAGCTTGTTTTCAGAATAAAATGGACAGGATAGTCATATCGATATTAGTTGTAACCGTCATCAGGGGTCTGCTGTGTTGTGTTGGTCCCAAATTAGCGGTGCCGGAGTATACAGTGCAATTTTACGGAATACAGTGCAATTTTACGGAATACAGTGCAATTTTACGGAATATAGTGGAATTGTATTATATCGGAAACGAAGCCAAGCCAAGAAGAAGAAAATTAGTATACAGTGCAAAATTTAAAAAAAATGCACTGTATACTAATACGATAGCACTGTATTCCGTAAAGTTGTACTGTATACTAATACAATTGCACTGTATTCCGTAAAATTGCACTGTATTCCGTAAAATTGACTGTGTTCCGTAAAATTGCACTGTATTCCGTAAAATTGCACTGTATTCCGTAAAATTGCACTGTATTTCGTAAAATTACTCTGTACTCTGGCACCCCCCAAATAGCTCATCTATTTACTTCTAGTGTGCCATAGAAGACTTGGAATGGAGGACGGGACCATACAAGATTTAGACATCACTTCGTCGTCTGTAGCTACCCTTGTCGGGATATGGTGGCCTTGGTACGCGCGGTTAAACGGAGACTTTGCCTGGCTGCCGCATCTCTACCTGACCACGGCGTCATGGATACAGGTGTGTAAGGGCACGGTCACATTTCCAAACTGGGGCCCGGCCGGGCTGTTTCGATTAATGAAAAATCTACAATTTATATCAAGAATATAGTATTACGTCAATAGTTCTCATTGTTAATTCTTTAACTTTTTTGTGCTTTGTTGTCCTTTATATAATACTTTTCGTTCCATAAGACTGCCCGGCCGGGCCCCGGTTTGGAAATGTGACCTCAGCCTAACAGTGGGGTTCAAGCGCCGCGCCGCTATGCTGAGGTCACAATTCCCACACGGGGCCCGGCCGGGCAGCTTTGGAGAACGAAAAGTACGATATAAAACACAACAAAACACAGAAAAGTTTATCAATGATAATAATCATGGGCACTATTTCTGTATATTCTTGATATAAGTTGTTAATTTTCCGTACATACAACCAGTCCGGTCGGGCCCCGGTTTGGAAATGTGACCTCAGCATAACTGATCCATTCCAATGGGGCCGGACCTTTTGGCGTAGTCGTTGGCGTGCTGGTGTCGTAGGCTGGCTGCCCGGGTTCGGCGCGGGTTCGATTCCCGGAGTCCCAGGAGTCAGGGGGTTTCCTGTTTGACGTTTCAGTACTCGGGATGAAGCAGCACGACAGTTGTACCAGATCGACTACTTCGGACTATCTCATCATCCCAAAACCACACTAGGAAGCATACAGAAGAAGCCTGGCTTACTCCCGCCCGGTTGCATGGAATAACTTGTCTCATATTAGGACGGCTACGTCCATTCATATTTTCAAATCCCTTTTGGAACAGGCATGATGATAATATAGGACTTGATCATGGACTTTAACGGCTAATGACTTATGACATAATGATGTATTTATGTATGAATTTATTTATTTATTTTATTTTACTTATTATTTATGACTATATTGATGCCTACTAGACATATAGTACATGTAAAACGTTCCTATGACAAGATTGTCCGTGAACTCTACCCCTCCACTTAGACCTTGTTGAAAAGCGGCCATGTAGGCCGAACAAGCATTTCCAAGTAAAATAAAGGCATTGACTTGACTTGACGCTCCTATTTGTTTCAGGTGGATCTGAAGGAACTGAAGACTGTCACCGGTGTCATCACACAAGGGTACGACGGCCCGCATCAACAGTACTGGATAACAACTTACCACATTCTCTACCTGGACACCAGTCTGAGATGGGATATCATCAGAGACGAGGAGAGTGCCACGGTATGTTCTATATACTGCATCTCATATATACGAAGATACCCAGGCAAATGTCGTATTTCACTCTGGAATTTCTTATCAAGTCACAAAATCTCTCTATATAAACCATACACGATTTTTCTAATATAAATACGTTCATTCTATGTATTGACAAGACAGTCAATTATCATAGAAGTTCATCTGTGTTGGTAGTAACACGTTAATCATAGTAAAGCGTTAAACTTTATTCCAACACACAGAGATCAAATTTTCAGCGACCACTGTTACGTCACGTATCAGTAAAGTCTCGTGTGAATAAGGTCACGTGTTTGTAAACCGTAGCTCTCGCGAGACCACGTGGTGAAGTCATTGGTCATTCATTTTCCTGATAAAGGCGACAGTGGTCGCTGAAAATTTGACCTCTGTGTAATTGTGTGTTGGAATAAAGTTTAACGCTTTACTAAGACATAGTCAAGTCAACGCATACGTTACAGCTAGATTAGTACACGTAATATATAATGATCTTTCGGCTAATAAATGCAACAAGTAAACTTACGGGCAGAAACCAGCCTAGAAGAAGTAAAAGAGATTAAGTCATTGGTGGTGTTAATTAAAGCGGTGTTAAAGTTTGGCACCTTAATAGCTTGACTAGAATAGTATATTATAATAGAACCAACTCTTTGTCTTGTATACGTACGTTATTAGTTTTTTAAAAGTAGATTGGTAGATCCAAGGAGGTTCCATGGTAGATCGTAGGACTTCATGTTAGCATATACTTTCACACCACTTCTCAATACATTCTGTGCCCATTGTTCTTTTCAATGTCTGTACACGTTTGCAATTAGCCCTCGGGCATGAACTTGCAATAAAGAACTTCTAAAAGTAAACTACTTTTTACATTTTTGTGTGTAACTAATCTTTACAGACTTTCATCGGGAACACCGACGCAGCTGGACAGAAGACGAACATGTTTGACAGACCGATTGTCACACGGTTGATCAGACTACAGCCGGCGACTTGGGACGGACTGCCAGCTCTCCGGATGGAGCTCCTAGGTTGTGACTTTATCGGTAAGTATATCGGCAAAATTAGAGGCCTCCAAATAGAAATTAGGCACTTGTCAATTCATCCAATCATATGATCGGCGATTACGTACACACCAAGTAGACATATTGAGCAACGATATTAGATATATACTTACTATTATACCATACCCGGGCCGCGATAACGTTCGATAACGGGTTCCGGACCGGGCCGTACTTTACGGTACGGCCCGGTCCGGAACCCGTTATCGAACGCTTCCATGGCTTCCATAAAACGATTCGAACGCGTTTCGCCCTAACCGCGTGTGCCCCTTTCGAAAATTCGAATACAGAATCCGGACGTTGGAACTGATGTTGTTGCATTTGAGGGTTTAGGGGCACCAACTTTTGGCTCATATTGCATTGAAAGGCGCGTTTTCTTGGGTGGGTATGATATATATAAAATACAACACGGGGTATTCCGTACCGCCCGAGGTATCGGCCCGACCGCGGGTCGGATCGCCCGACGGCCGCAGGTAAGTAAGTAAGTATATATCTATAACGTTATAGATATTAGATATATACTTACTAGTATATAGATATTAGATATATACTTACTAGTATATTACCTGATTATAGCCTGATTAAATCGCTTTACGGTTGCCTCCCGCCCAACATCTAGCCGCTTAAACCGCGGACGGCAGAGTTTGCGTTACATAGTCTAGTAAGTATATATCTATATACTAGTAAGTATATATCTAATATCGTTGAGCAATATATGTCTACTTGGTGTGTACGTAATCGCTGCTCATATGATTGAATGAATTGATTGAAGTGCCTAATTGTTTTGGATTTCCAGCACTTTTTGGATGTCCTTAATTTTGCGAAATCTTTGGAGATCCCTAATTTTGCGACATTTTTGGAGGCCCTTAATTTCTAACAATTTTTTCAGGTCCCTAATTTTGAGAAATTTTTGGAGGTCCTTTAGTTTAATGGGTTAGAATGGCTAGTGCTGATGTCGTCATCGCAAGTAACGACACTAAATGCCTCCGTCCTTGAGGCGTAACAAAAAACAGGTTCTGCAGTACAACACTTAAGTACAAAATCGTCCTTTTTGACTTTCCGAAGGACCTATAGGACCAGCTGAGGTGGCCTCTCCTGCAAGCAACTCGCCGCCATACGCAGACACGAGGACAGGACAGCCGACATCGTCAGCACAAGCTTCAACAGCCTCCAAAAATGGTGAGTCTTACTCTATAGCTAGGGCAAAGAGTCCTTAGCACCTTCGGACTTCATTACAAATGTACAGTACAACATATTACAACGCACGAATGTAAAAAAAAAGGATTTTACTTGTTTTCTGAATAGTTATATACTTTTTTAACTTGACAACAATTTTTTTTTCACGCAGCAGCGATGGACTACAGTAATGCTTATTCATACATGTTAGGTATAGCAAACACCATAAAACTTTTCTCCGAAATGTCAAGAATATATCTTGATTCAAACCAAAACAGTCTCTACTTCATCTAGACTCTACTCGAAAATAAAAGAGCACACATTGCCTAATGTTTTTATTGCACCTTTCTTATGCCTAAACAGGCGCCAGCATTGGGCGTACAGTGGCAGCAGGAGTCGCTACTCTTATCATAAAGATCCTGTACGGTAGCCTCGCACCATCCTGGCATTGGTAATGACGTCTACGTCTACGAGAATATGCTAATGAGGACGCCTTGCGGAATTCGGAAGAACAGCAGTCTGCTGTGTTCAAAGATGGACATTGGTCTTCTACAACCGTGCACCTTGCGGAAATTATCAAGTGGTCTGGCCTGTTGTGAAACGAGAGTTCGCCTTTTTGAAGCTGAACTTCTCAATGCGTCAATGCGCCCCATGTACCTTGTAAATATAAATACTTTATTTACCAGCTACAAATGTATTTTTAGATGTCAGCATAATGACAAAGGAACACAGTCAATGTGAATTTCACGCATTTCAGTTCTTGGTGAGAAATATCCATGAAATGATTGACTGGTCGTGTGGATAGTAATTATTATATTGACTTCATTAAATGATCGATTGATCGATTGATTGATTGATTGATTGGTTGATTGATTGGTTGATTGATTGGTTGATCGATTGATTGGTTAATTGATTGGTTGATTGATTGAGGCGTCGATCAGGATTTGTTGTCGTGTAACATTGAAAAATAATTTATTATTAGTTTGTTGTTATTATAGTCATGGTTATTCGTGAGGGAATATATTGAGAACATGCTCGTGTTTCTACGTGTAATTATGGAGGAGAGGGGTTTGTATGAGATTGATTAAACCAGTGGCAACCCATTTCAATCTAACTCTTTTCTTGAAAAGCCTCCGGTCCTTATTATGTCTCTAGATATCAGTGTTTTCAATAATTGTCTTGTCTAAGGCAACAAAAATGCACGGAAGGGCAGATCTAGAGCCCTCAAAGAAAGGAGGCTCGGAAGTAGGAAAAACATTATCATGTACACAATTAATAATACCATATATGGAAAAACATCTTGGAAGTTAAAAGTCATGCTTTCCGGTATGTATGATGACGGGTACAACTATCGTGACGTCATTAGAGCTCGAGATGATTAGAGCATGTAATTAACCGTCTGTGTTGACGTCTGCTGTGGCGCACTTACAGTCAAGTTGTTTTATCTGAAAAGTAGATCTCTTGGCGTCCTTGATTCACATGAGTGTAAATAGTAGAACTCTAATGGTGTACACATACTGATGTTTAAGCCGCAAAAAAAATCAAAGAAGGAGGGGTAAAGAAATAAAGAAGAAGGGAGGAAGATAGAACGATCTAGCCTCCGTAGCAGGCCTATAGAACTGGGGATTTGGTGGTCTTCGACTGTTTTCTGATCAGCCCAGTTCGAAAAACGGAACAGTTGAAAAACGGGGGTAATTCAACCAGGCCGGCTATGTTGCCCATGCAATCAGGAAATAGCACATAAAAGCTCCCAAAGACCCTGAAGATCCCAAAAACCCACAGTTTTTGGCATGCTATGGAGGCTAAGAACGCTCTGCCTTTAAAAGAACGTATTTATAGTTACGCAGACACAGGAAGAATTCGCCTGGAGGCTAACTGCACTCGGAAATGGGCGGCCCGACCCTGTGACGTCACACGCCCGGAACTACCGTACTGAGTCATATCTGATAAACCTGCTAAACGACTGCTAACTAATACAGCACGTAGCACACGAAATACACATTCGTAAAGTGTGTTTGGTAGCGTGACTTTGTTGAGAGAAGTTCGTGTCTTTATTAAGATGTTCGGTTTTGTGGCGACTTGGTTTGCTGTGTTGTCAGTCCACGTCTTTCTATCCGCAGCAGACCTAGACGAACCAGGTGAGTCTGTTTTGAATAGTTCAAAGCTTACGTTTTTTTTATTCCAACATTTCATGACCACACATGGCGACGTGTTAAGTGACTTTCCCAAGGTCACAAGATCGGTGGCATGTCAGGACTCGAACCCGGGACCTCTTGGTCCGGAGTCGAGCAATCTGCGGCTACGCCACACGACCCCACTATTGAATAGCTAACGTTAGTAAATACGTATATATAAAAACAGCTTGCACTCAAGACTGTATAGTCAAATATAGTCTTCTTGTAGTGCAACCTTTTTCCTGACCGACATATGGAATTTATATTCATAAACCCTGATTATTCTTTGAAAGACATAGAAACGTCGTGAGCAACATAGTCGTAAAAAAAGATAGAAATCACATTCCCTGCGAGCTACACCAATACAAATTTTTCATGGGACATGGCGACTAAAACGCTTTAATTACTATGGTCTATATGTCATTTACGTTTAGTTTGAAAACACTGTAACTGAATTATCATTCTGACATGAGTTATTTCTTCCAACAGCTATTAGTATTAGCTGCGATACAAGTGCCGAAGGACTACAGAATGACATCTCAAGGTAAAAACAGCAACTTCTGTCTTTCTCCCATTTTATATATGTACATTATTTACTACGTATACAAATTCAAAGAACTTTTTGTCAGAAAGGAAAGTCCACACTGAACCAAGGCTTTCGTGTTAGTCGAGAGTGTCAAATGTTTTTACTTTCTATTTCCAAGAACTGCTTTTTCACACCCAGAAGTGATACGTTGTTCTAGTGAGTTGTGCAGTCATAACAACTTTTTCCGACATTTCATGACAGCACACTAAAAAAGAAGCCAAATTATCGTAATTATTAGACTATATGTCCATAGTACATAGAATTAACACTAGCTTGTACATTGTATATATTCATTGCAAACTGTGATGTCTTTTCTGTGACCTGTACTGAACCCAGTGGGTATTTGCGTACAATAAAGGTCTTCATTCATTCATTCATTCATTCATTCATTCATCCATTCATTCATTCACTAAAGTTGTATCAATTTATTTTATGCCGTCGACAACACAGAGGACAGATACAGGACAGGACACTACTCACTACACTACCACACCACTCAGTTATTAAGCTAAGAAAGGAAAGTCGTGTAAAGTGCCTTTCCCAAGGGCACAAGACCGGTGGCATGTCAGGACTCGAACCCGGGACGTCTTGGTTCTGAGTCAAGCAACCTACCTTTACGCCACACGAACCCAGGACAATACATAATAATTAAAGTGTAATGTGTGACATTTCAGTTTTGTGTGCCCGCGGGACTGTGTGTCATCTTCCACCGCAGACGTCTGGGGCACAGGGATATACAGAGATGTGAGTAAATTGTTGGCGACTATGATTTTAAAGTTGGTATATGTTGTCAAATTTTTAATCAGTGCTTGCACATGTTGTTTCATACTAGTATATCGTTTTCATACATTACTTCATCTATCGTCGGTGAAGGTTAGACATCAAGATAATAATAAGATACGCAAAAAAAAGTTATTCAAGGATACGGTCAAACGTTTCAGTATACATCCACTACCTTTCGTCAGTGACACTGAAGACTTATCAGAAAAGCAGGTTTATAAAAGTACGAAATATTGATTGATATGAAAATAATTGAAGACAATTTTTTTGAAAGTCCAAAAAGAACAAAAGTTAGACAAGTCAAGACAAGGATGATGCAAATTAGTCAAGTAGCTCCTGTTGCGTCAGAACAGGAGCTTAAATATTGTCTGTCCTCGGGGATGGGAGTGCTAAGTCCTGAGTGCCTGAGAGCTCTATCCGTAGCCACAGCCCTACTTCAACTATCTGCTAAAATTTGCAAGTCATTGATAATTAAGAGACCCATATGCACAAGATGCGCGCGTGCCTTCCACGAGTCACGGTCGGCGCACATGATGACTTCGCAACTCGGACGGAAATAAAGTCTATCTAGAGATCTCTGTAACACGGAAACAAGAAATGTGAGATTTTAGACATCCGGGAAGTGTACAAATTATTTATATTTACAGTTTTGGCGCAAGAAATTTATATAATATCGCATTATGAGAAACATTTTGTAACAGAATGTAAACTATACCACAAAGAGAGAGTAGATCTTTATAATCTAATACAATCTATGTTCCCCTTCTTTATACATCTAAGCTGTACAGATAAATTTATATTTCTAATGAACTTAGACGAACCTTCTGTATTGAAACCTCTCTGTTCTTACATTATTGCCATTACTAAGAAACGAGAAGAAACCGAATTTACTTTGATTGTAGCTACTTGACAATGTATATATGTATCTATATGCCATCCTTTTTTGTGACCTGTACTTAACCCAGTGGGTATGTGTGTACAATAAAGGTCTTCATTCATTCATACATTATTATAAAAAACCTTTCCTCCTCCATGCAGCTATCCAGCATCTGTAAAGCCGCCGTGCACGACGGGAAGATTGCGGACGTCAGAGGAGGCCAGGTTGTTGTGGTAAGACAGCCGGCTAGCACCAGCTTCACAGGATCACTGCAAAACGGAGTTACGTCGAAATCACACACGTAAGGAAAAGATAATGAAGAAGAATGAAGAAGACCTGAATTGCACATTTATCACACTTGGCTAAGTACAGGTCACAACAAAACAAGATGAACGGATACAGTTAACAGATACCAAAAAAAAAAAAAACTATCGTTATATAAATTCAACTTCTCATCGCTTTTCAATTATAGAAATAAAAGAACAGATATGTTTTTCGATGGATGGTTTGTCCAGTTGCTTTGGGAATATGAATTTTCCTACAGTGCTTAAGTGTGCATGTTGTGACCATGTGTACATGTACATGGTCACAACTGATGTATGGTCTGTAAAGGATGATCGTCTTCGATACGTTGATATGCCAACGATTTTCGTGCAGCGAAAAGCTGATTTCTGTCGACTTTTCCTTTTACAAAATGATAATCGCATGTATTGACACATCAGCAACCTCTATTCTTGACCACAAGAAAAAACTACGATCTACTACTATAATGGACACTAAGAGTTCATGATGCTTCATCTCAAGCTGGCAATTCTTGTTCTATTCCTCTCCATCCAGTCATGAAGACGGCGGTTTCTCTTGGTCGTTCTCCTTCAGGAAAGTTTTTGGTAAGTAGAGCAACTCAAGAAACAGATCTACAGAGAAGAAGCATGCATAATAATCTCGGACAGATTCACATACTTGTCAATCTCTCGCTTCGTGTTAGATTCATATCTTAACAAAACTGTAAAAACTTCCAGAAACACCGATTATGTGTCCCGATCCTCCAACGTACGAAGATGCGCACGTGTACTCTGGGTCTTCACCCTACTTCTACGGAGACCAGGTGTCGTACGTCTGTGACGGTGACACGACGGACAACCCGGAGACTGGGGAGGGACCGTTCGTTCTAGTGTGTGGACTGAATGGGACCTGGAAGGGGGACAAACCGTTATGTACAGGTGTGTGTTACAGACCATGTGTCGCAAATATGTATCAATCAATCAATCAATGAATCCATCAATCCATCCATCCATCAATCAATCTGTAATTTCAGTACTTGAATATGATTAATTAACACAATAAATCAACCAAATCGTTAATTTGACGCGTAACATTTTTGTTCCAGATAACGGCCAACCCTCACCATCAACCAAAACGTCTGTCGGTAAGTATTGTTACAGCTACGACGACCCTTCCAATATAACCTCCTTGTTCTAATATGGTCATTTTACAATAACGCCCCTGGCGATAGCTTTTAGAATTGCACCTTAATTTCGTGCCTTGCTCGAATCATTACAGGGACTATTGTCGGAGTTGTCATTGCTGTATTTGTCGTCCTCATCGTTGTGTTAACTGCAGCCATCATCATAACCAGACGAAGGTAAGCCATACAAACGTCTCAAATGAGTTGCTAAAACGTAGGATTGGTATTTGTTTTCTCCAGGCTTACATTTAAAATATGTTACATGAATTATTCTTTTAACTGCAACATTTATAAGAGTTGAAAATTGAAATTGTTGTGTTAATCCTATATCTTCAATCATTATACAGGCGCCTTAAGAATGATAGCCATCTTCAAGACGGAGTAAGTCATGGCGAGTGCCCAGTACACTACAGTGACGTCATCTACTCATCTGTCATCCACATTCCACCTTACCCTGTGGTGGCCGATCAGGGATTGGCTGAACAAACAACCAATGAGAGCACGACACACAACCGGCCAACCAATAGCAGCACTGCTGGGGATCTACTAACCAATAGGGAACCAGAACTTCAGTCAGCTGATATGGGAGACCGTCCTATTGCCTCAGCCAATCAGAATACACCTTTGCAAGATGCAGGAGAAGTGGACTGTACTCTGTATAACCAGACAGAGCATACATACACACCACTGAGGTGAGGTCTCATATAATATTCTTTTCTGCAAAAATGGTCAAGTCTCCTTTTCAAGTAAAGAGTTAACAGTCAACCCCCGGGCCCATTGCCATCTAATGACCACAGGTCTTAGGGATTGAGTGAATTGTACAAAGATACATGTATTTGATACATACATTTGGTATGGCAAATAATACACTTATCTTAATTTCTTCACATTTCTTCTTTTCCTTTGGAGTTGCTTTTGGCATTCTATGACAAGGGTTCCTGCAAGGATAGCCTGCAAAGTATCCCTAGCCCTGCCCACCTTTTCCGTAAACCCAAAAGTCTGCCAGGCTAGCCTGCAGGCTACCCAGCCTTTTCCGCAAACCCTCTATGACAATTGATATCGTTTTCCAATATCTTTTTTGAAATTCATGGCATTTATGGTTGGAAAGGTTGGTTTTTTTTTTGCGAAACAGATTAAAAGTTTCACTTTGTGTTTTATTTTTTCCCCAGACACGTAGAGCCGGAATATGCCCAGCCTCACGTGCACACAACTTATGATGTAGCTCACCTCTATGCAAGAGTCTCACAGGATGAAGGTGTGGTGGACAACGTTATATATGAATCTTCCAGTTCTCAAGAAAATGGAGACATTTCAACTAATGCAACATCCTGATGATATTGAACACTACCTTAGGCCACACAAATTTAATTTCCTAGGTAACAGATTTTTCTAGAAAAATAATGGAGCGGTCGGGCGAAATAAAAAAAACAGGCCTAGGCATCCTATTATGGCCCAAAATGGTACAATAGGAGCCATGAAGTCAACACACCAGGCTGGTTCAAAATTTAAACAATGAATTTTGAACTTTTAATGATACCACTGCATTGAAAGATGGAATAACTGTAGCAACTAGGACGAAAAGGACTGTTTTCGACTGTTTAGGACAAAATATGAACATTTTGCAGTTGATTCTAATTTTTTTTGCAAATCAAAAAAAAATGAAGCGGTCGAATCCATTAACAAAGAAATTTAATTGGTGTGGCCTTACATGACTGGTATGATTTTTACGAAGTGTCAGGTTACCTTTGTTATATACCAGAGGTGAAACTATGCTACAGTAGTACATGTATAAAAATCTGCCACAGTAATGCCCTATGTGATAACTCATCCAAGATCATCAATACGAAGGGTTCTAACACCTTACTCAGTATTTTTTTTACTGATGGAATGAAAGTACATGTACTACATGTATTGTGGCTTCGTACAGTTCAGTCTTTTTCCATCAGATCTCACTATGAAAAGCATGTACATTTTTGTATTTTGTATGTTTGTATATATCGAGTAAAAATGTAAGGACTAAAATCCTACATTTGAGAGCAACACGCTTTTGTACCAAATATTTATGTGAGCTAAAGGGCTATGCATTTTGCAGTATATTATGAGTTCGAGCTTGTGACTTACTCTATGTTCATGATTAAATGCTTTAGTCTTGAAATCATAGATGCCAGTAAAACATTGTCTTGCTTTGTACAATAAGGCCACACCAATTTAATTTCTTGGTTAACGGATCCTTCTAGAAAAATAATGGAGTGGGTGGGCAAAAAAAAATAAAAACAGGCCTAGGCATCCTATTATGGCCCAAAATGGTATGATAGGAGCCATGAAGTCAACACACCAGGCTGGTTCAAAATTTAAACAATGAATTTTGAACTTTTAATGATACTAGTCTACTGCATTGAAAGATGTAATAACTGTAACAACTAGGAAGAAAAGGACTGTTTTCAACTGTTCAGGGCAAAATATGAGCATTTTGCAGTTGATTCCGATTTTTTTTTTTTTTGCAAATCAGAAAAATATGAAGCGGGCGAATCCGTTAACCAAGAAATTAAATTGGTGTGGCCTAAGTACATGTAGACAAGAACTCCTAACACACAAGTTTAGTAAAGTATGCCAGGACACCATCAGTTGTATCAAAGCTCCTTTATTATACCATACTTACTGGTAACACACACACACAATACTTCACACAAAATATAACATGGATGGATACAAGAACAAGGGTGCCATACAGGGTGGAGATTAAAAGATAGGAACTGAGGTAAAAGTTTCCATAAACAGGCCTCCTAAAATGCACACTCTTGTTAGCAAAGCTTTTGGCAGCTTTACAGTCTGTATTTATTCCTCTTGAAGGCGAGTAGTAAAACATCAAAAGTTACAAATGGAGACAATCCTTATGGCTCTAAAATGATAGTGAATAATAAATACAGATTTAGGTTGAAATCCCATTAATACTGATCATACATAGGGGAAAAAAAGGCAGACATCTGTAGTGTACAAATACAGGGTGCCAATATACACAACGTTGTGACTATTTTACAGAATTTATACAGTGTTTTTTCACATTCACACTTTCACACAAACTTGACAATATACAGCCCCAAGCTAAAAACAGCTCGGAGTTTAACATAGGAGGCACACACAATGTGCCTATGTTTTTGATATGTTTTTCTTTTTTGTCATTTTCCGTTATTTTCCTACACATTAACTTAAGTTTGACACAGCCATGATATTTTTCTAAATTCAAAACAAAGTCCTTAAAAGTTATAACTAAGGTTCTTTGTCATAAATTCTAAACTTAAGAGTGTGTTGTAAGTAATGGTACGAGTGGAAACATGACTATAACGTGGAATTTTTGGTCCATCTCATGTGACGAGCAATTGTTTTAGCTTACACATTGCCGCACAATGTCTCAATAACTTCTTACTTGTGTTTCCTTTTGTTCTTAAGGTTTTCCAGCTCCAACTTTGCTTAAGGAATATCAGGAGAAAATAGAAAAAAATTGCTTCATTCCATTGAAGGGGTGACCTTATGAAATTGGACTTGCAGGTCACAATAATGTGCATTGCACTCAATACAGCACAATTATTTCTATTATCTGCTGTCTTTTTTTTACGTATAAAATAACTTGTTTGTCTCAACTGAGACTGAAATATACTTTTAAGTTTACATAAAGAAGAATAGACAGTCTGTACTTTTTTTCTCCAATGAGGTTAGAAGAAAGAATAAATAATTTTTAGCATGTTTTAGTAAGTGTCATTTGATTATGCCAACGCAAAAAAGAATGGTGACTTTTTATCTTGATGGTAGAATATTCCTCTTCCAGTGACAAACCCATTCCTATACCCTTCACCATCAACAGAAACATAACGTCTAGCTGCCAAGTACTGTCTATGCCACTTCAACAGCTGGCACCTCTCTTCTTCCCCACCACTTTCCAAACACCTTCTCAATTTTTTTTTCGTATTTACGATTCTACATCTAGAGGATACAGTGATACTGTTTTGATTATCTTATACATAAAGTGCTACTGTGTGAACCTTGTACAGTCAAACGTGTGTTTGTGTGTGTATATACACTTCTAGCCTTATTGTAAAAGTCAGGTTTGACTGTACAGTCTGGTTCCACATCCTACAAGTTGCCAACGACAGTAAAGAAAAAGGAAGTAGCTATATCATAGCAGTGATTGGTTGAAGTGGAGGTAAGGTTGGAGAGAGGTTTCCGTCTCGGTCCTGCCGCAGCTGCGAGCTGCATGCCACCCCGCCCGTCACCATGGCAACGTCTTCCGTCGCCCCAGCAACGACCTCGGGGTCGCCCTTCCAGTCCTGGTCGTACAGGCGCTTGATTCCGTCGTAGATGTCGTCGTCCTGGATCTGGGCCACTTTGCGCTTGGCAGACTTGTTGGCGGGGGCGGAGATGATGTAGACGAGGTTCTGTGTCATGTCGCGCTGGGCCGCTAGGTGGCGCGCGATGACCTCACGACAGCGGATCAGCGACTCATTTTGAACCTAAAAGGACGATCGCAATAAATACAATTAAAGCTGCATTATGTAGCACTATGTCAATACAAAAAGTAAATTTTCTAGTCATTTCTTTACAAAGTAAGTTGAATAAACCCAACTCCATTGCAAATACGTGTCATTAGTGAAGTGGAGGTGCCAAAATAAGACTCTTTGTGAGTGTATTTAAAAGCTGGAAACACAGCTGTCAGCCATGTTTGTTTACAGTCATTTCGATGGCGTGGGTTCGTATCCCACCGCTGCCACCAAATGTAGGGTAGCCGAGGCTAGCGGGGTGAGCCGAGCTGTCAGAGAACTACACAAGACGAGATCTCACTCTAGACTGACTCCGGCCACATGGCCGGAGGTACTTTATTCCTGTTAATGAAGACCATATGTCTTGACCGCCCGTGCGGTCACAGTCTTATCTACTCCCCTATCTACTCCTAACAATTGTAGTAGTTTGTGGTGGCACCACAAACTGAGAGTGCCTCGTGTGGACTGTTTTAGCGCCAACAAAAAATGTCATGAATGTGAGATAATTATACAAATATGTTGAAAAATGGAATCCAATTGCAATCACACTAAGATTCTTTAAAACAAAAGATTTCAATTTCAATTTTTGGTGCAAAAATCTTACATAATGCTCCTTTAATCTTAGGGACAAATCATAAATAAACTGAAGTCTCGAAATAAATTTGAATCAGGATAAATCAACAGTGAAAGAAATGTTGCAATACAAGTCAATAGAAAAAGGACATAAATTTTACCTTAACCATCTTCTGTAGCATGAAGGTGGCAGCGAGCCAATCAGGGATGAGCATCTCCAGCTCCAGGCTTAGCAGCGCGAGCGAGACCACGGAGCCGGGGAAGCCCAGCACCTGGTGGCACGCCATGCAGCGCTGCAGCTTGCGTGTCAGGTGCGCCAGGTGGCGGGAGGGGGTCATGCAGGTGTAGGTGTCCAGCAGCTGCGGCTGGTAGGTGGTCAGCAGGGCGTGAAACTACGGGACACAAAAATATCTGGTTATTATACATCATTATTAAATATCATTTCAGGTTCCTCATCTTGTGTTATTGTTGTCAAGATGACTAGCCAAAAACCGCTAAATTTAAAGTAAAGTAGAGTAAAAAATCATACCTTAAGAATGGTTTCAATCTAGTTTATGAATGAAACTGTATTCTTGTTATCATATTCAAGTAAATTTGTGCATTTTTTGTAATGATAGAATCATTCCACTACTAAAGATTTTCCATCAGAAAGGTATGTCAGTGGTATTAGCCCATTTCCACACAGACTTTCTAAGATCAAAGACTTGCAGTCTTTCTTATCATACAAGGTTATCACTATTGAAACATAAATAGAGTACAAAAGTACATTTTTTTCATCATTAATATCGACATCGAATGGTTCCTTACAATGTGCAGGAAATCTAGTGCGGTGACGTCCTTCAGGTTCCATCCCAGTTTGTCCAAGATGATCCTCTCCATACGAAGCAGCTCGTTGGCTGTACATCCACACTCACTCACCCGCACCAGCTCCCCTGCACTGGGGATGGCCTGGGGGAAAAACACAACATCATTACAGGACTGTCTTTATGCTCTGTCTTGCTAGGGGGAGCTTTTCGTGCAAATGTGAGATACTGTTGTTGCTTTGTCTTTACTCAACCTCTGTGACATTTTAACCAATCTGGGTACAAATATGCCTTACATTTAACTTCTATAATAATACTGACACTAAATTTGAGTTAGAAACTTACCTCATCTTCTTCGTTGATTTTGGCTGCCAAGAAGAAACAACTAACACTGATGCAGCGAAGGTACTTTGGTCGGGCCTGGAAAGGTGAAAATAAATACAGAGAAACGAGTCAGTGTTGGGAAAAGACAGAATTATGGCTACAAACTGTTCGTCAACAGGCAACTATGGCCACACCAATTTTATTTGTTGGTTCTTGGATTTTTTCACAAATAATATGAAGCGACAGGGCGAAAGAAAAAAAGAAAAAGAAAAAAGACCAAGGCACCCCAAGATAGCCCGAAATGTTACAATGGAGCCATAAATTCAACATACTTAGGCTGGGTTATAACACATACAATGAACATTTAATGAAACCACTGCATTGCCGTATGGAAAAACTTTGACAACTAGGAAGACAAAAGCTTTCTTCAGCCACTAGGGCCAAAATATAAGCATTTTGGAGTTGATCCAGGCCCCAAATTCTATTTGTTTTTCTTCTTTTCTTTACAAATTACAAAAAAATGAAGAGGCAAATCCGAGAACCAACAAATTAAATTGGTGTGGCCTATATTCTGAAGGAGTGGATATCAGGAAGATTCACCTTCACTGCGTTGAGGAAGCGGTCCAAGATGCTGACACTCATGGCAAATGTCTCAGGGTAAGCCTGGACCTTGGTACTGAGTGTTGCCAGCCAGCGTACAGCCTCATCTCTTTCTTCTGGACCAATCTCTAGATCTGCATCCTGCATACAAAAAAGACACAATAATAAGATACAGGCAAACATTTATATATATATATATTACGCTGTCTTTGATTGAATATTGTACATGTCTACAGAAACTGCTTCCAAGGCATACATAGAAGTTATGAATATTTTGCTAAATAATCTAATATGTTGTGCATTCTATGTTGTGCATTTCACTTGCGTGAGGGCTAATATTTTGCATGGAATAGTGGTCATTCGCTTAAACTATAAGACCAAAGTAAGTGGGTATTTGCTAAGAAGACAGAAGTAAAACTGTCAGATTTGGTTTATATAACTTTGGATTGATGGATTCGCTTCAAACATGGGATTAATATAATAATAATAATGGGAGCACAACTACATTTTAAAAATCGCGACATGAGGACGACCACAGAGCAGTCATTTGTGGTCATTGTGCTTGTCAGGCTACATATTCAACTTCTTGATCTAAATTCAAACCCAGCACTAATCTGCTGGGGCTGACCTCAAGACACCAACTGAATGACAGTTTGCAAATTAAAACACCAGTGTTTCCCCACTGGGACCAAACAGTGAACATTCATGACTGCAGTGTTCCCACAGGAAAATCAATCAAACTGCCTGTTCCATTTCACATAACCCTGTAGCCTGCCGAGGTGAAGCGATTATCTCTGTTCCAAAACATGACCTTGGCAGGTAACGGATACCCATTTTCAAGGGCATATCACGTTACTGAGTCTGATTGAGGGATGTCTTTTTATGGTCCAGGCAGTCTTACAAAGCAGACAAATATGCGGACTGGAAATACATCACTACTGCACACCGTGATATACATGTAGGCATGGCAGCAAGCCATGTCTGTTATGTAGTCTATATTTTAAGAAGTGGGAAATCAACCTTGGAATGGGATATACTGACAACCAGTGATTCCAAATTATAACACATCAACCACCTCCTCAACTCAAGTTTTGTGTTAGAAACATCTGGTTAAACAAAATTTTTAGTTATCTATTTATTTTGATAGACTAAGTGTAACATTAATATAACAACTTGCACCTCTCAAAAACATTGATCATCCTACATGCCATTTGTGATATTATCTTTCCTGACTTCTGACCTATATTTGCTCCTCATCCATTCTCCCTTGGTCTCCTGAGACCTTGTATCAGTATTATCGCTTCTGTGGGTGGGGCAGTTCTATATCTATTAAAACAGGCTTCAATCAGGGGTTATCTATTACTGTACCTCAGTTCTCAACTTGTCAAGGGCCCCCTAATCATACCTCATATATTGTTTGATTAATAATTTGTATTTGTAAATAGCTAGTAAGTAGTATGATAGAAATTGTCAGAAAGGGGTCTGTTTTCCAACTGATCACTGGCCCCATTCTATGGCGTGTCAAGTAAACAACCTGGAATTCTCTCCCATGGTTACAAAAATAAACATGTATGGCCGATTTCCAAAGGTAACCAGCTGGTTTTTGAGTTACTGGTTTGTTGTTATTTTTCTCCAGCCAAATAGTATGGTAAATCTTCATATGCAAGAAACACTGCCTGTGGGTCAAAATACACAAAACACGGTATGTTGCAAAACCCTGGAGGGTCCCCAAATGATAGGAGCTCTTTGCATGGGTGGTTGTGTTTTCTCACAAGACTTTCAGAGCATTCCTGTTTCACAATGCTATTTATCTACCACTGCTACTAGCTATTTCGCGACAAATTCAAGTTGCAAAATGTCACCATGTACATGTACTGTGAAGTGGCAGCTTGCCTGTAAGGTATAGCTATTTAAAGTAACACTACGAGTGTGCTGGGACCAAAATACTCTTGTGTAACTGGGGCTCCGTGACCCTGCCAGATCAGCGACCTATCACGTGAAGCCTGTGTGCTCAGGTAAAGTAGTTTACCCAGTGCCAGTCATCCACCAATAAGAAGGAAGGCTGTGCCCTTATCCACCAATAAGAAGGAAGGATAGTCTTGGGCCCATGCCAAGATTTGTGCACTTCTGACTCCCACAGAAGTTGTGCAGGACTTGGCTTCAAAAGAAGTTTATTTTGGGATCTTAATTGGCATACAAAATTTGTCATTTTTGACAGGCAACCTTTTTCAAAGCCAAAATTTACACAACACTTGTTTTGAAAAGCTGCTCCATGGGAATTTTTCCATACACATTCACCTATGTCTCCAAAAACATACCTTTTTTTCCTGCGTATGTAAAAACCATTGTCTTGAACCAGTTCTAACCAGCAGTGATCTACCATATTTACAGAGCTACTAGTACTAGACTTTCTATTCTAGAAACTTCCTAGTACTAACACCACCCCTCAAAATAAAAGTTTGTTGTAAACATTGAAATTCAAATTACCCCCCCCCATATTTTACTCATAACTGCCATACATACATTCTTCACTTTTAGAAACCACAAATGAGTGCTATGTAAACAGCAGGTATAAAGTTTGAACAAAACAGATTCCCTCAGGTGTTAACCTCGTCCTATCTACGTCAGCAGACCAAAGGTTAAAGGATATAAAAAAAAAAGGCCATAGCAACCTTCATACGTCAGACAGCAACCTTCAACAATCCACGTTTTTTTTCATCCTGTCCTCAAAATGGTGACAAATTTGTTCGCATCAACATTCCTTAGAGTGACCGGGAGATTAGCAGATGTTGAAAGAACACCTGAAAATTTGTGTGTAACGTATAGTATATGTGTAACTCTGCTAAAATTTTACAAACCTTGTCTTAATGTTAAGGTTTTCAGTACTTTCTTTGAGTACCCTTTTGTTGCTACATGCACATTCAAATTTTTTACCATGACCTTCATATCAAGGCTGTTATTAACCATACAAGTAGCCGTGTTGCTCAATAGCAAATCTGAAATGATGACATTGAATCAGTGCATACTGCAACCATGCACATGTACATGATCCATAAAAACCTGTCACATTGTGTATAAGCTTGCAGGAAAAGCTTTTAGTAGTTTTACAATAAACCTGCTATCTTTGGGTGTGTTTCTAGTTCTGACCAATGTTTTCTTCCCAATTTTGGCAAATACATGTATTTCAAGACAAGCTCCAAGGACAATCTATGGTTGTGGCAAGACGATATAGAAGTTTCTAGGAGCAGAAGGCCCAAGGAAACCAAAATGGAAGCACCAAAAAAAGTAGGGCAGGTAAATATGGATAGCTATTAAAGTACCTCCAGCTGTTTCTACTGTTAGCAGCCTCAACACAAGTTTCTTCATTTGGAGAAACAGTCCAAATTTGCCATTGAGGCATCGTCACAGCTGGCTATAGGCAGTACAATAATCCCTTTTGTAATGTAGTAAATGTGGAATTCTGCATAGTAAAAGTCTTATTGCAAATCAATGCAATCTCAGCCTTCTATTCATTGGCCCCACTAATTACCACACAAAGTCACTAAATGTTAGAAAGATGCTTTCAACCAGTTAGTGACATAGCTTGTTTCCCTCTTCCTGTTGTTTTCATCCAAAAGAGTTTGCGTACAACACTACCACTGTTATCACTGAAGTGGTGCCCACTGATGATAACAGTGTTTACCTGTCGAGATTTCGGTGACCATGCTCACCTGTATGGACACCTGAGCCATGTAAATTTCACCCCATTTTGAGCACAGGATACATACCGAGAAAACAGACAATACAGTGGGTACAAACGTCCCTCCCTAAACAGACTGCTTCCTTTTTTGGTACATCCTATATCAAAGACAGCCAGTGACTGGGGTACTTCCTTCAAAAGGCACACCTGGGTGAGTCATATCACTTTATCTCTAACATGTTCGTCACAATGCAAATTAGCTAACATTTCGTGGTTATGAGGCAACCGTTTCTTCTCAGAAAAAGTATACTGTATCCTATCCTAAAATTTGGTAGCCCTTGCTCACTGGTTTACTACAAATCTTTATGAACTAGTATGGACAAAGGAATATTTATCATTTTTGCATGGCATCTTTCCTCTGAATTCCATGCACTGCTACATGTAACTACCTAAAATCAAGCCCATAATAAAGGATTCTATGGAGGTGTGCATACTGAAATGCAAATATAAAATGATAGGCCTGCAATATTCAATTCAAATCTACATCAGCTTGAAGCTAACAAACAAAGGATTCCAGCGTCAAGAGTGACAGATGGTTTTGTTGATATTACTAGTACTCCATATGCAGTTTTACACAATGGACACTCCAGAAATAGGGATTCGTTATGAAACTAGGTCTATGACATAATTATCAGACCTTTACATTTCAACAGACAGCTTTTTCCTCCAGGCACGAATTAAAATTCCAGACAACAATGGTTTAGCCCAAGGGGCTTCAACCTGCTGTTTGGTTCACACAGTAACCTTTGGAAAGCTATAATGGATGCAATTGTCTTGAAATATCTAGCAACAAAAACACAAATGTATATAGCCTAGCACCCCAAAGGTTTTGCAAATCATAATAGGATCTTTGCATGAATATTCATTGTGTTCTGCAATTACAAATTGTGCACATGAAATATTTAGCATTGTCCAGGCTTGTGTGTTGTAACAAGTGCAGGACTGGGAAAAATTTTTAATACTAAATGTGTTCTGACATTTAACTTTGAGGCATCTTAAAGTGTTGTCTCACCTGGTTCACCTTGGCCTTTAGCAGCCGAGGTCTCCAGGTGCTAGCTTCCTTGGCGATCGCCTCCTCAAGTGTTGATGTTAGCCTCTTGGCATCCCAAAACCCACGGAGCAGCTTCATTCTACACGCTGCTCAATGTTCCCCCACCCTGCTACGGCCTGGAAAAACATCACAAAAACGGTGTTAAAAACAATATAATTCAGCCATACCATGGTATGGAGTGAAATATAAAACACTTTTGAACAAGACAATACTAATACTTACATTTACTTATTTCATTTACATACGATCGGATGATAAGTCTTTCTCGTGGTGTCAATTGCACCTGCATGGTATTAATAAATCAGGCTATGCAAACACTCAAATATAAATGAGTCCCAGCAGAATAAAAATTTAGCTTAAAAATTTATCAAACCAAAAGTCTATAGTTATAGTATGTACTATCACTATGCCTTGAAAGCAGAAGTACCAAAAACAATCATTGATTAACTTGGGGAGAACAATGACTTTTCAAAAACTGAGCAGAATTTATGAAATATCTGAAGGCTCTTGCATAAGCCAAAGTATATACTGTACATAAGGCAAAACTGTAAGATTTTCGATTTTTATGTATGCAGTACAGTGCAGAGACTTTGGTATCCTACATCAGGTATTCACCTTAGTTTACGGTTTTGGCTTTGTTGTAATTTTTACACAAATTATGCCGTGAAATTTGACTGAATTTCCTGGATTACGAAACCGTCACAAGACACGACCAAACAGACTTGTGATTAATACCTAACAAAATTTGATGATGAAACATCAAGAAATCACCGACAAGTGGTTTTCTTAGACACAGACGTTTTTAGACTCGGGTTTCCGCCGGATCAAATCCGAACAAGTCCGAACCTGAACAGGTTTGCCCCCAGTTATACAAACAACAGGAACGTTCTAGAAATTAGGACAAACAGCGACTTTTCTAGACGATAGGGAACGATACTGAAGATACAAATTAATTTTTCTAAAGCAGAAGTCACAACATTTGGAAAGATGTGACAGTAAGCGGCTAAAAACGTTCAACCGCCGCGGAAAAAGGCGCAAAATCTTCGGCTAAAAATGGCAGCTATCTATCAGCTGAGCTGAGTTCCAGGTTTCTTACCTCCTCTGAACACCTTAATTCTGTGCTGAAGCTAGCGTTGAGCCCCATGTATCGCACTCCACACCTTACAGGCATCCCTGGGCACCCATGGTGAACAAAACCTGAGTAAAACTTGAGCAGGAAAACCTAAAAATAAAAGGAGAATCTATCGCTAAACACCTTCCTTCTAGAGGGGTGTTTACGTTTAGTTGATTCCGTAGTCCGACTGGGGGTCGTCAGCTGACACCTTGTATCCATCCGCCAGGGCACGAAATTATCGGCATTTTACACAAAATTTAGACATTTTTGAAAAGTAAATATTGAATATATGACTTTCATATGGTCTAATATAAATCACGGCGTTGTGATTGGTAATGATTCTTGACATTTAATGTATTTTTGGTGTAAAGGCAGATCTACTTTTTTGCACTAGGCTACACTAATTAGCATAGGACGTCAGTGGGAAGTCCCAATACGTCATCAGGGGTTACCAGCTGTCATTGCATCAGAAATTAGCTTTTACAAAGTTTTCCTGAAATATGCACGCTTCAAACATCGCCAATCGCTTTCTATGTCTTTTGTGGAATCTTATTACATGATTCTGTTCAAAAGATATCCTGCTTGTTACTTTTCTGCGCGGGATAAAGCGAAATGTCAAATTGGGTGGAGCTCTAGAAAAATGTCCAATCAGAAAGCAGAAAGTGTAATTAGGATAATATCGACCAATCAGAAACAAGGACAGGAAACCGCCCGGGCGCCAAATTTCGAAATCTTGTCATTCAAACATCTCCAGAGGGCAAAGTCTGCAGATCGATCGATATTTTCGCTTATTTGAGGTCCAGAGCGCGCAAAAGCGGTCAGGTACGTCAAAGTTTTCCGTGCTGTGTGGACGGGGTGTATTTTGCACCGCATATTTTCTTTAGAGGGAGGAAGATAGCGTTTTGTTTTGTGTTTTGATCCTTGACAGCTGACAGGAGCCATTTTCATCAGCTGATCCCTTTGTTTTTGGTTGACCTCTACCGAGTAACGACTGTGTTTCGTGATATTTGGACACTCATCGGGCGGTTTTTCACAACTGTGTTTATCATGGTAAGCTACGAATGTGGGACTGAGTGCATTGCACATTTTGTGGTTGTTGATGAACGGATATTTTTGGCGGTACGCTGGTATCAAAGAGGTTGCCCGATATCCAAAATTTATTTCTCCTTTGTTTGTGTTTACTTCAACGGCTGCCATTTTTCTCCTCAGCTGAACGGGGCGCTTTCAGCAAAGAGAAAAAAAATCAGGCGTTCTGCTTTTTTTAGATGGTTGTAAAAGAAAAGATTGCTAAACTGTTGCGTAGCACTAAAGAAACACAGTAAATAGAGGGTAGCACAAAAGGAAGCCAAGTTGGAACACAAATTGACAAAAGATATGAATCCCTACGACTGTTGATACTAAGTAATCTGTACCTGAGTTTTGTGTGTAAACCAAGTAGTTTCTACATACCATCTATGTTTCTGTAGAAAATCCTTGGTGTAACGTACACAAATTGTTGTCTTTGCCTGAGGGATTTTTGCCATGAAGGAAAAATATCTGTTGGTGTGCTGTGTTTTTTTTTTCAAAGTATAATTTTGAACAGACATGTCAAAATGAATGCAATTTTTCACTTGGTGTAGTGTACAGTTCAGACAACTCAAGAATAATGTTGTTGTTTGTAGAGGAACATGTGTGATCACCATGCTGCGGAGCTTGGTCGGCTGTGGTACCAGCTGCAGACCGCGGTGCGCCGGGCACCCTCGTACCAGCCCAACCTCATCCATCTGGACATGCTGGAGGATGACGACGTGAGTCTTCAGTTGTCCTACACATGACAATGTGTATTTACTTCTACTTGCATTCGAACTTTAAAACTCAAAGTCAAAGGATGTTGAAAAAAAATTGATTCTGGTTGCCAGAAATACAGTGCAATTTTACTACAGTAGTAAAATTACACTGTATACTAATACGATTGTACTGTATTCCATAAAATTGCACTGTATTAGTACTGTATACTACTAGTAAAATTGCACTGTATTCTGTAAAATTGCACTGTATACTCTGGCACCCCTAGCCTGTTCTTGTTGTTGTCCTTGTTTTACATCTAATATATTGTTAGACAAGTTACATGGTCTCTTGGTGCAATTTTTCAAAGATTTTGTCATGATCATGATTGCAAGGTCAGTCTGACATGGCACGCGCCTTCCTAAGTATGTGTGTGTAGGTTTTAGGTCTGGTATGTCTGGCATATGGTCACTTTCTCAAGACTACGTGGTCATTAGATTGCCCTGTCCTGTACGTGCAGGTCAAAATGACCTGCCATGGATAAGCGTTGATAAGGTAGTTTGGAAAAGAACAATGGAAAAGAAGTACATTTTACTACATCAACTGTATTTCCATTTCTTACCTGAACTTTTTACTGCACAATTTCTGGCATATTTCAGGAAATTAATTTTCTCTGACTCACACGCAAATTTTGCATGCACAAATTTTCACACACAGAAAACCCATTCCCCCGTTCTAGTTTTTGTGAAATCTTACAAGATTATTGTCATATTTTCTTTTGGTATTGTACAAGTATTGCACACCCGAAAAGTAAAATATGAATTGTAAATGTTTTTGTAGGATGTGAGGGATCCCGTTGTTTCGTCCACGCAAAGAGATGAGGCCGTGGATCGTCTACGCTGCCTGAACAGATGTCTCCGCTTCAAACACGAGACCCTGGCTCTGGCCATCAACATTCTCAACAGATTTCTCTCCATCATGAAGGTTAGACTACAGTCTCTTTTCAATGTACAACATTCTGTACCTGTATCTGTATAGACGGTATAACCACCCTTCGGCGTAACACACCAGCTTCGCAGACACGCGGCGCGGTGGCAGCTAGCTATATCACACCGAACGACTTGTTACACTCAATCTTTGCACATTTAATTGCAGGAGTTGTTTAAAGCTTTCTTGTGATGATGCCCCTACTGTGCTTGGTGGCAATGAGTTCCAGTCTACAATAGTTCTGGGGAAATACGAGTTTTTGAACACCTCAATTCTTGGTTGATAACTCTGATATTTGAAGGCATGACTGTTTCTCGTTCTTTCAAACATACAATTTGTCATGCAACTCTCGAGTGCATGGGACCCTGCCCTGCCACAACCCAAGGAACAGTAGCAATTCCCATGGTATTGTCTTACCATAGGAAGTACCCTATCCTCATTTACATAATAGTGACACTTACGAGTCTTTGTCATGTGCAACTAGTTTTTCCAGTTCCGTCACATGTAATTAGTTTTGTGCTCTTAGTTCATTTAGTGACGCTGAAGAAGAGTGACACTGACAGATGTCACTCAAAATGTCCTGAATTTATCTCTGTTATTTATCCAGTAGTAAAGTTTGATTTTTCTTTGAATACATCCAGTATCTTAGTATCCAGTTTTGTACAATGTGAAATGAACTTAAAATTTACACAATAATTAAACTGTTAGTGTTTGATCTTAAAACCTTTTTTGCTCTACAGGTGCGAATGAAGTTCCTTGGCTGCCTGGCCATCACCAGCTATTTCATTGCCATAAACATTCTAGAGGAAGACCAGGTAAAGTACATTATACATGATGATGATATAAGATCTCAGTGTCAGAAGTCAGTTGGCACTAATTTTTGGTTCATCTAAGGCCACACCAATTTAATTTGTTGGTTCTCGGATTTTTTCAGAAAAAATATGAAGCGACAGGGCGAAAAAAAATAAAAATGAAAACAGGTCTAGGCATCCTATTATAGGCTTAAAGGAGTACTAACCTCCAGAAGGAAGTGCTATTTTCCGATACATCATGCTGCAATGAATACATAACTAGCCGACTTTTTACATAATTTAGCTTGTACGAGTTGCGCGGCGCATGTTTGTAAAGTGATATTAATATCATTTTCCCCCATGCTGAACCACAATTGATACATCCGGGAACTCTGGCTTACGCAATACTCATACACTTCAGGTCAACATAAACATTTTTTGGCGAAAATGGTAAGAGACAAGCACACTAACAAGCTGATTATTGAGAAATTACTTGCTTTACTTTGCTTGACCTGTGGCTTGGATATTATAATATCATGATGTCGAATACAGTGGGCGCCAGTTTCATCCTGTGTGTTTTGATTTTCTCAACTTATTTGCATGTAAGTATAACTTGAACAGATAATTAGATTACGCCACTTATGAAGAAGATAACTAGATTACGCCGTTTTTTTCATCATCAATATTTGCGGTATAAATGAGGGGCGATAAGGACACCAAGAAGGGCAATGGTTGGTAAGATATCAAAGAACACATAACGGTACGAATTTTTCTTATCGCCCCCGAAATGAGGTCTGTAACGTAACTTTTTATTTAAAACATAGACACCAATGGGGTAGCGTGGTGTATTCTGGGATAGTTTTGAGGGTATTTGGAGAGTTTGTCCTGGATTCGATGCGTTTTAAGACTTGCTCGCAAAATGGGCATTTAATTGTATACTGTAAAATAATATGCATTTTTCACTTCCAAAAATAAATGCCTGTCGAAATATAGCACCCCCTTCTGGAGGTTAGTACTCCTTTAAATGCTATGGAATGAGCCATGAAGTCAACACAAAAGGCTGGGTTAAAATTTAAACATTGAATTTTGAACTTTTAATCAAACCACTGCAATGATAGATGGGAAAACTGTAACAACTAGGAAGAAAAGGACTTTCCTCAACTGTTGGGGGCAAAACATGAGCATTTTTCAGTTGATTCAGGACCAGAATCAAATTTTTTTTTTTTTTTGCAAATCAGAAAAAAACGAAGAGGCGAATCCGAGACCCAACAAATTAAATTGGTGTGGCCTAATAATTTCACATCTGGAAAGTTAAAACTTTCGTTCAAACACAAGAGATTTTTCTCACCTAGACCTTTTGACCAGTCACTACAGCTGACCAAGTGAGACTTGTCACGAGTAGCTAATAGTAATTATTGTAACTACCAACACAGTAGCCTGATTAAATCACCTTATGGTTGCCGCCCACCCGACATCCAGCTGCTAAAGCCGTGGACGGCAGAGTTTGGGTTACAGAGACTACCAACACAGATGAACTTTTAAGGCAATAATATAACATCCTATTGTTTTCCCTAGGAGCTGCCAAGCCCAGTCCACCTCATCAGAATAAGCCAGTGTCGGTGTACGGAGGCGGACTTGTTCAGGATGGAAGGCATCGTCTGTCAGAAACTCTACCACGACTTCGGCGCGGTGACGCCCCTGACCCTGCTCCAACTGTACCACGGGATTTGCACGATGACGGGAACCATGGACGGCGTTTTGGAGAAGAAGAACCTCTCGCCTGCCGAACATCTGGAGCAAACCATCGCAAAGCTGGAGGCTTGTCTCTGCCGGTCTGCTTTTACCAAATTCACTGTGAGTAACAATCATAATTCAGTGTCATTATCCATTGATAAGTGCGAAGTGTGCATTTATATGTTCCTGTACAGTACCTGGTTACAATTGATTTGCCATAGGACTAATGCAGTAATGGTAAGAAAAGTTTTCCTTCTAGCTCTTTTAGAATTGCCTGTATCCAGTGGCTATTGTTTAGGAATTCACAGCAAGTGTGTTTTTGTTTTTATTTTGACCTTTAACACTATTCTACACGTATTTCTTTAATCCACATAACATTCAAGCTACCATAAGGGAAAACTAGCTCATTTCTATTTCCGGGGTACAAACTTGTGTTCTGAAGTGAAAAAGACAAAAAAGTTTTTAAAAAGTTGCAAAATCAGCAGCAATGTTGTGACTACTAGGTTTTTCATCATTAGGTATGTCTTATGTACACATGTGAAAAGGGTCATGCTAACCTTGCCCAACACTCTAGTTGCACGCCCTGTTCACATGTCAGGGTGCAAAGTCCGCCAGTCTTACACACTTACTGGGCAACGTGGACGTATTGAGGTTATCTAAATATCCTTGTGTAAGTTTTGCTCTCCGTTTCATACACATGCAAAAGATGTTGCAATATTTGGCAACATACAATAACTATTGAAAGTATGGCTGCTCAACATGCATAACTTTCAAAACAGGAATACTTTAGATTTCAAGTACAGTACATTTACTGTAAAACTTCAAAAGTACAGTACTTGTAGAGATGCTGAGGCCTAGAGAAAAAATGTTGTGTTTTCGTAGAAAAACCTGCCAACCCTACATTGTAGAATCTTTTGGGGGTGAATCCCTGCAAGGGACATAATTTTTTGAGCTGATCAACCTTTTCTAGCTCCATGATCTGACACTTGAGTGATAAACCCTTGTACAATTGGTTTTTTACATTGACATTAAAAATAAAACAGTGACTCCTCATGCAAATTTTACTTAAGTTTGTTAAACTCACTGTATTATATACTAGTACTAGTAAGTTGGATGCCTACAAGTATATAGATATCACTGAACTTCTGAAGTTCCCCCCAAAAAAGATAATCCCTACCTACTGACCCTAATTTTTTTCTGGACTAAAACTGGGCATGGAAACAGCATTTTTTCCTAGGCCTGACACAGTTTTAGTCAGTTATATATTGTCGCCAGTAGAAAATTGCGTAACATTTACCAATACATTGCTGGGAAAGTTTCTGAGCCATTGGGAATAATACTATTAATAGTCATGGGACTGAAAAGGTCATTGCCATGTACTTTCCCCAATCAGCAAGTGTTCACATGTACAGGACCGAAGTACGTCATGATTAGCCAATCAGAGCTTGAACAGTCTTTGGACTTTGATTGTTCAAAAGTTGCAAGGCTCTGTATACTGTGAGCATGGGGCAATCCCTCAAATAAATAAACCAGCATAAACTAGAGATAAAGGAAGGTCACATTTATCAATAAAGGTAAAGTTCACTTTTGCAAAACCAGGGCAAACATGTTTGTGAGTTTTTGGAGTTTGTCTTTTACTTTTTCTAGCACTTGACTTCCACACTTGTTACAAACTAGTAGATTGCCTCCTTTCACAGTTTTGAACAGATGCGTATTTGATCTCTCATCATTGAAATTTCTTACTTGTACAACTTTTGATAAAATGGCAAAAGTGTGTAGTTTAAGTATTATATAATATCCATGCAAATTACAGTACTCTCATCTGCCAAATAAACATACGGGTACGTTTATTTTTTTGGGCCCAAACATCCACCCAGTACGTTCTTATTTTGCACAGTACGTTCATAAATTTTTTGAAAACCAGTAATTTTTTTCAACTTCGTGTCAAAAAAATTGACAAATCATCGACGTGAAGACGTTTATAAACGCATATTGTAGCGAGAAACTTGTCATTTTCGGGCCGGTTTTTGCAATCACCGCGTGCATAAATTCGTCTGAATGTTCTATTGTCATGGGTGGTGCTTATCAAAATACAAAATATTAAATGCTCTTTTTTTTGTCTATTTAAATTCCTAATTGCAAATAACAGTTAAAGATTTGTGCATATATCAGTAAGGGTGCATTTTAGTAC